CATTTAAAGTTAAAGCTTTTGAATGAGACTTATCTCAAAGTGATGCATGTCCCTATAAGTCCAGCCAATGCTAAAGGCCAGCGCTTCTTTAACCATCTCAGGTTCTGCTTGTTAAGTATTCCATCCTGAGTAATACTGATTCCATAATTCCTTACATCCAGATCTTTGGCACATATCATTTTGACCTGAGCGATTCATGCCTGTAGGTTCCGCACAGGAGCCTGACGTTCTGACTCCTGCCTTAACTTTTCTAATGTTATCTACATTATATATTTAAATGATATGCTCACTGTAGGAAGAAATGTGCTTGTAGGTCACAGGAATTAGTCATAAATGTGGTTCTACCATGGGCTGTCTCTTGCCATTTTGGATCCTTCAGAAATAAATCTGAGGAAACATTCTTAAAAGGGATCTAACTCTAGCCCAAGACTTCTCCTTCTGTAGCAGCAGCACTGTCTGCATTATTATTAAGGGGAAAGCTGTATGAATGATTAAAAGAATGGAACCAAAGATCAGGACTTGATTCAAGCTAAGCTAGAATATATATTTTGAAATTAGTTGTGTTTTTTTATTTTTACTTTTTCATTACATTAGAACCTTCACTCGTACTTTGAGTTCCTGACAAGTCACATTTTGATGCATAATCTAGTTGGAGTGAAGTGTTTAAATGAGGAGGGGAGAGCAAATGGGAATTATTTTAGAAATAATGAACAATTTGCAGTTTTAATTATTTTCAGACAAACCAAATACGTATCACAATATACTATTAAAAAAACTAGACGAGATTATCTAAAATTGAAAATAACTATGTTATGGACGAATTGACCTCTAAAGTCCCTTGAAGGGAGTACATGCTGGGGGGATATGTGGTGGCACACTACCCTTCACCTACGCGGCACTTTTGTTATTCACACAAAATGGGAGGTCAGGTGAACCAATACATTCTTGCAAGAAATATTCTCTCTTTATTTCCTTGTTACAATGTTCAAGGTGGTTGGTTATAATGGCCAATCGTTGTGGCTAAGTAAATAGAGAAACTTTTTTTGTTTTTATCCCGTTCTTTGTTACATTTTATATAAAATAAGCATTAAAGGGAAACCATAGTGCAATGAAAACAAGTTGATTTCCTAAGACTTTAGCTCCCTATGGTTAAATTCACTGGCACAGATTAAAAGTCTGTATTGTGGAAAGGGGGGCTTGCAAATGCTGCAGACAGCAGATCTGCCGCTTTTGTAAGATTCTTTTTCATATATCCCTAATAAAACATTCATTAAAATGTATATGTTTCTTGGGGGAATAGATCTACTATACAGTGGGGTTCTGGGAAAAGTAGAGTGGTCATTTCATTCCCAAATAGCAGAAAATAAAACAGTGAGACTTCAGAGACATGATCTATACAGCAAAGCTGCTTTATTGAGTTTGTTATTTTGATGACTACAGTGTCCTTGTAAATATTATGTATTTTGTTGCCTAGGGTTGCAAGTGGTTTTTCGATAAACCCTAAATGAAAAATGCAGAATTAAATGTGTGCAAGTTTTCATTTGGGTTATATCTATTAAACAGTGATTTTTCTTTATTTTGTATTTGGTCCGTGGAATGTCCCTTTAATTTTGGGTTACTTGAACATTTCCTTTCTTTTTTCCTTTTCAATAGATGGGTCGACGAATTTAATTATTCAAAGTACTGACCACCCTCCTCCATTTTTATACAAAATGCCTTGATTCCTGTGTTAGTCATCCCCCCATGTGTAATCTCTTGTTCCCTCAACCTGCTTCTAGAATCGGTATTTGGGGTTTATTAGGAGGTATTAAGGTTTAGTTCATATATGACAAAATAAATACTACTATTTTTTTTAAGTTCAACGCCACCTTAGAAAGATACTTTCTTTGACAATGGTACAACTTCAGGAAGGATTTATTTCCCCACAGTCAAATATATATGAGCTTAGTTGTAAATGTAAGCAAAATATATAATTAGAATTATGTATTTTTTTTTTTAAGAATAAAAAAACGCTAAGAAATAATGATTGCTAGCTCCACACAAATTATTTTTTATTCTTTACATTTTAAATTGATGGTACTGACACAGACACTAGCACAAAATAAGATACCATATTTTGTAATATATAAATTCATTTAAAAAGTTCTTAGTGATCCATATACACAAAGACAAAAAATAAATAAAATGTCAACAATTAAGTCCTATAGAACAGTGCAATTGTAAACTGACATTCCCGGTTCATGCAAGAAACTAAGTTCATGTGAAATCAAATTCAAACAACTGCTTTAATGAGCTCTCCCTTAAATGGCAAAGCACAAACACAGGGACTGGAATTAAGAACCTGCATTAGGCAACAATGAATTGAACGTGTACACTATATATATTATTGATACAACGCAATGTACAGACAAAAAAGTGTTACAAAAAACATAAAAATAAACAAAATAAAATCAAGAAAAACAGAAAAAACACACAAACCAAAAACATTACATGTTTGGCACATTAACATTGTAAACTAGAATGTTTGCAATTGTGGTGATATAAAATGTTGCATGTAAAATATCAAAATTTTTATAGAACTTTTCACAGGCGCCTTTAAGCTGTATTTGAAAGTTATCAAGTAGAAATTGTGCATGGCAAAGTGGCACGGAAGAAAAGCTGTTAAAAATTGTAATATGAATGAGCTACCTATGCAAATATGAAAGGAGACAAATATATATATATATATATATATATGAGACTTGTCTTCAGTGTACACAAATGGGCATCTAATAATGCAGCATACATAAAAATATATGATTGTGTATATGTTAGGCTCGCATTCTATCCAAAGAATGGTCAGTGTGCTGGCTGTTATTATTACTGATACAAATATTGGTGTGCATATTATTTGAATATTAATAAAACCGATTTACAGTTTGATTTACATTTGCAACAGGGTTAACATTTATAACAAACTGTTAACTCTCCTCGTACGGCACCCTGTCGTCTCCAGTTATATGTATATTTTAAAAAAAGGACTTGTAGTTCACACAAGTCTCCACGCATAGTGGGATGTTTTAAATGATAACATTTTGAATGTATCAGATCTTCTAGAGTTTGTTATAGTTATAACGATAGGCATAAACGTAAAACAGATATAAATGTTTTTTTATTACATTATCATTGCAAATATGGATTGTTGATTTAATTTAATGTACTGTTCATTATTGCACTATAATAAATTTATGAACTAGAATGTAGTACAGGCAGCATTTATTTTTCTCAGTGGCATTAACTGTTTGCTAGTGCTTTTGTTATTTTGTTTGCGGAAGCGCCACAAAACCTAATGTGATAAATTATTTTGTTTACATAGTACACAGACATGACTTGAACCAGGGATTTTCAATTTAGAACAATTAATCTCACGACAACAGTCATATTGCTGCTAGTGAGAATTACTTACCTTTCAGCACTAACTGATCTCCTCACTACCACTCCACTTCTTTGGCAGAGATCAACCAATCCAGTGCTTCCCCATAGGGAAGACATGCATTAGGTGCTGAGCCAATAAAATATTGCTACCGGACCAGCACTTTCTCTATAACCTTTATAGCAGAGACAGACACACATTAAAGGCGTGTTTAACCTGCAATTTAAACATTGTTTACAGAACAGCAATGTCTAACATTGCAGGCTTGAAAAAGGACATGGGGCTGCACCAACACCATGTCATTGAGAATATATGGGTGCCTTTAGTGTCCCTTTAAAGGTGGAATTGACAAGGAACAATTGCAAACATAGCAGAAACGTACAGGAAAAATATCAGGAAATCACACTATACCTTGTACTTAAAAGATAATGACATAAAATGTTGATCACATGTGTAATTTAATTGTAGTGGAAATATGACTAATAATCAGTGCTAAAATCCTAAAGCAGACAAAAGTGGCTCACAGCCATTTTTGCATTTTGCAATTAGGGAGATTTTTGTGTTTTCGGCATAGGGTAGCAGCACCTCTTACAATACACAGTATAATGATTTAACAGGAGTACAGTGGAATCTCTATCCCCTCCAAATAAGAAACTAGAAAACACAATAAAAACAAAAAACCCCACACACACACTGTAAACAAGAGAACAGCATCGGAAAAGTCCATACATTTAAAGTGTGTATAATATATCCTATTTCCTCTTATGAGCATTTATCAGTACTTCAGCAGTCGGACGTAGCAAAATTCAATGAGCATAACGGACACCATAACCAAAACAATGCTGGTAGTTATGGTGCTAAGAGGCTGCAGGTGGTATCTGCCTTTAAGTAAAACAGTTTTTAAATAGTTTGAAGAAAACTAGGAGCTCTGAGGCATCCAGGGACATGCAGCCCTCGTTCACTGAATTGCCTCCTCACCTCATAACCATAATCTAGAAATATCCATTTTGTCCACAACTGACATATTTGAAAGGGATGGGTGTGGAACTATTGCATCAGCAATCTGGCAAGCAAAAGGGGGCAGGCTGCGAATGTCAAATCACTCAAGAATGATTTGACCTGGGATCTAGATGAAGGATATATACTCACTAGAATGACATGTAGCAGTTATGGTGCTTAGACTGTCTCCGTAAGTCATTACTACTATGTCACGATCTACTAGACAAGATCAATATTTGTGGCATTAACTAAACTAACAAGAATACAATAAGCAGGAATAGCACTAAACAAATACAATAGTTATTCAATAAAGAGAGAATTCCAAATGAATTTAGAATTTAATTTTTAAACTGAAAACATTATCTAATTCAGTTCAGCTACTTTGTCCAAAAATGTGTAATTCACTTTGAAATGTCACTTTAGCAAATAACCCAGATTGCGATTCTTCCCCTTTAAAGTAATCATGCCTTTAATTACTTAGTATATATGTCTCTTTGGAAACATGAGTTTTTGTTGCTATTTATGCCACTTTTAATTCAAACTGTCTAGGGTGAAGAGAAGGTTTAAACAACATAGGACATGCAATCAATTAAATACCACAAAGCACAGAGTTTTCTAAGGTAAAGTCATAGTGAAATCTTGCAAAGTTCTCTTCCAGATTGTATACTGGAACCCTTTCAGGAAGCTCGCTACAAATGTTCTGTACTTCCTGGACATGAGGCGCCAAAATGAAAGGGATATCATTTAGAAGTTCAGTCATCAAGTTGCTTCCCTCAGACATTTCACTGGTGAGCTTGGGGGCTCCGGTACCATCTCCATTTATATTTGGTGTGCTTTCTGCAGGTTTCTAAAACAAAACAAACAAAGATTAATAATATAAAATCAGGAAATTACATTGAGACTTTCAGTCTCGATTATTCTAATTACACACAGACACATACACAATATAATTTTTTTCTGATTAAAATTAACTCAGTGATGGAGACAGGAACAGCTTTCCAATTAGGCAGAGTAGGCACCTGTTTTAAGCTCCTACAATGTGCCTTTTGAATTTAAATAGGTTGGTGAAGTGCCAGGAGCCTGGGTCAGTGTCCATTGTAGTCCAGTCATTCTTAAAGCGGCACTGTCACGCCATACTTACAGTTTCCCAATCACCTTCTCTTCAGCTTTCCTACTCTTTTTTATATTTCTTCATTCTACATGCACCGCCATTGGGTGGCGACTAGGGGATGGGACAATAGGTCCCATCATATTATCTTTTATGACCAACCTGCCGCCAGTGGGTGGCTAAGACAATAGGACCCCCCATTATTGTTTAGGGCCCCTACCCACCGCCAAGGGGCTAATGGGGACAATAGATCCCCCATTGTTATTCAAGGCCCCCACCCGGTAGTCCCTCCTTGTAACAAACTAGGCCAAAATTTCGCCCAAGAAGCAATTTGGTCTTCAGTTAATTTGCTTTAAGTTCTATTTATTCGTCTTCCGAACAAATGGGCTAATAGCAGAAATTCTGACAAAAACGAATGCCAATGTCTACAAAATGGGCATGCGCTGGAATTTCACAGCACAAGCAAGAGTTGGCAAATGAAGGCAATGCAATAACGTCATCCAGGAACACTAAGATAGCGTCGCTTAGGACATAGATCTGGAGAAGTAAATATATAACAATCACTTCATTGCTAGCATGTCAGTGTCTCAATGGAGAAAATCTATGTGAGAACACACACATAAACATAAAGAGGACACCTCTACAAAGGTTCTACCACGAAGGGTATGGCGGTTCTCTAGCAGTTTGAAGACAAACTGGACACATGAAGTGGTATCTGTAAGCAGACATTATATTAGATCAAGGTAGGACAACATTTCAGGTTCAGTTGACTTAAAAACGAGAAGTGATGTAATTTGAGTTGGCTATATCTTTGTTTTATAACCTGCTGTATATGGAGAGTTTTTAAGTCTTTATAAGAATTGTAAGCCCTTACTAGCATACTCTTTTGTTTGCTTGTCTATTTATTTATAAGACTTGTAATTGGTTTCTTTTTTTTTGGAGGGGACGGGGATGCCGATGTACAGGTGACGTCAGTTCGCTCAATGTCACTTCTATCTCTCCCCCCCCAAAGTGCACCCTCCGACTCCATTGATCAGTGAGTGCTCTATTTTGTTTATGTGAAAAGTACTCTGTATTCAAGCTTGATAAAAACCCCATAGCAGAGCCGAATTGATACTCTACCTTGTAAAATAAAATCTGCTTAAGGATACCCCTTATGTTGGCTAGTGATTTACTGCTGTGGCTGCTATTTGTGAAGAACAGAAGGAATGCCTGTGGAAGGTCTTTTCTGTACTCCCTTATCAATCAATTCTCCGGCATAGACGTCTATGCTGAATTCATTGAAAAGTGGGAGAAAGGCTTGTTTTTTTAAACCACTTTTCTTGCAATTTATACATTTGCTAGCAAAACAGCTAAGACAATGTAGAGGTAAAAATAAATGCTCTTTGAAAAGAGCATAAGTTGTTCCTGGCATGACAAGTGCCTTTTAACTTGTTATAAATAACCTACCTATGTCAATAATGCATTAAAAGAAAGAAAGAAAAAATCTATACATAACAGCATGGGTTAATGATAAGTTCTCTTTAATGTGTTAAATTATTAAACTGTTCAAACTGAACCTTATCAGGAACTTGTACACATGCCATAAAAACGTAATGTACTTTTGACAGCCAATTGTCGCTATAATAAGATTAAGAGTGATTCATATCACCATTATCATGCAAAACACTTAAGAACTGGAGTATAATTTGGCAGTTAAAAAAAAAAAAAAAAAAGTAAAAAAATGCATTGTTAACACAAAGAATAAAACAGGAAACACTGAATACAAAAAGATATAAAAATGCTAATCACTAGCTTTAATAATAAAAAAAAAAGTATTTTGTGCACGATTATACTTTCAAAGTATGTAGAAAGTGTAGAGCACATTTCAGCAGCCTTCTCTGCAAAGCACATAATAGATGTAATGTGATGGGCAGAATATTCAACGTGGAACAGAATTAGAAGAGGCTTTCAGACAGACATAGGGATTGCGTGAATATTTCATGCTCTGAGAAACTCAGAGGCACTGCTCATTTGTAACACATACTCTTCCATTATCCCATGACCTTTCTTAGATTCCATTTTAATTCGGAGAGGCCACAGCAAATACCCAGCTAATCAAACACCCACCAAAAAAAGAAGAAGAAAAAAAAAAAAGTAACTTGTAACTGCAACAATAAATGTTGCTACCAATTTTATATTGGACAAACATTACCTGGAAAGGCTGATTGTATGTAAATTCTGTCCCAGGAAATGCAGGCCTGTCAGTTCTCTGTTCTGTAGATGTTTGTCCTACACAAGAAATAAATATTATATGATAAGTTTATTGCCATTATTTTGTGTGATCCCTTTCTAGACGCTTGTAGTCTGTACTATGTGTCTACGCATCCAAATGTCCCATTTATTTACATAGTATATTGGGATGGAATATTCCCCAACACTACGGAATTTTGCAAGCATTAATAAATATATATATATATGGATATGGATATGTAGAAAAGATAGAAAAGTATTATTACTATACTATTTCAGTTTTGACTTTAAAAATACAAAAACAATAAAAATAGAGTGTTGTTCTTTTATTGGCTGCCATTTAAAGGAACACTCCAAAGAAGAGTTGTCATATTGTACTACTGGATACTTCATGAATTCAACAACACAAATGACTTGAATATTCACTAAAAATAATTTTTTAACATATCACACCTGAAACATTTCTAAGTATTAGCATGAGCAAACACCACCAATTCCTTCACCTAATTTGACGAAATGTAAAACCATCATGATTTCACTACTAGAATTTAGTATAAGCTTTTTTATTTTCATGTATTAAAGGACCACTATAGTGCCAGGAAAACATACTCGTTTTCCTGGCACTATAGTGCCCTGAGGGTGCCCCCACCCTCAGGGTCCCCCCCCCGCCCAGCTCTGGGGAGAGGAAGGGGTTAAAACTTACCTTTTTTCCAGCGCCGGGCGGGGAGCTCTCCTCCTCCTCTCCTCCCTTTCGGCTGAATGCGCACGCGCGGCAAGAGCTGCGCGCATTCAGCCGGTCTCATAGGAAAGCTGAAGTGGTCTGGGTGCCTAGAGTGTTTCTTTAATAAGAATGAAATGTAATGCATAAAGGCTCAATCGTCCTTATTTATACTTTAGGTTGCTTTTTTTTATTATTTTATTTTTATTCTTTTATTTTTGCTGTGCCATAGATAACAAAACAAGCGTATGATGCCATGACAGCAATGATAAGCAAAGTAATAACATGCAATATAAGAGAGTAGCATGGCAATCAGAGTAAGTTAGCACAATTTTTTTAATAGATTAGTAATCTAGTTAAGTTTTACATGTCTAAGCAAATTACTGTATATAGTTAGTCGACATATAGTATAACTAAGACACAGACATTCTTAAGGTTAAAAGATAGAGACAAGCATACATCAACATGAATATTAACAGGAAAGCTGATTGCATGTTGTAAAGAGTAGGCCAGAGGTGATACAAGAGACTAGAGAAAGGATGATTGAGAGCAGTGTCACAGAAATTACCCCTTGGTGTAAGGGTAAGATGAAGGGCAATAGCTCTTCTTTGTGCAGCCCTGGCACCTGTATCAGCCTATGCCGGCTAGGGTCATTGCAGAGTCCTGAGGCTTTAAGAGCAATGACGGTCCTACGAGCCTCAGTGTGTACCAGCAGGTTGTTCCATATGACCAGATCAGGGTTACTCCTGGCACCTCAGACAGTTGAAGAGTCTCTGTCTTGGACTGGGGCGCATCCCTCTTGCTTGCTTTCCTGCGCTGGATCAATAAGCTCTTCATGGTTCGCTGCCATGTTGCGGTCTTGTGCACTGCTGGCGCCACAGGCTGCTGCTGGGTATGTATTGGCTGTGGTGTGTTGTAGTTTCCCGGCTGTCTTGAGGGAGGGTTCTGCATCCTGCTCTCCACTCTCCGCCAGAAATCTTCAAAGATTCTGTCCAGTCTGGACAAGATATCTTGCCTTTCTCCTGTGTTGCTGGAGATCCTCGCAGCAACCGCCATCTTAGGTGATTAGTCTGATTTTGCAGTAGCTGATATGGTTTCACCACTATGGTCATGTTCTGTCAGGGCAGCCTCCCAGGGATGGACCGGGATCACCCCCACTGGAAACGGGGCATCTGTTCTTGATTAATTGCCGTCATATAGCCTCAGTCCGGGAGATCGGCCGATTTTCCCGCCTGGTGTGACTTAGGCCGCATGGTCCAAAACGTGCCACAAATGAGCTCACGTCGAATCTTTGAGCCCTGCAGGGATTCTCAGCTGGGTCAAGAAGCAGGTAAAGCCCTGGATTCGACCCAAATCAAGCTGAGTTAGGAAGAAGTCTGCTTATTAGTCAGTATAGGAGAGGAGCTTTATCAATACACGTCTCTCCACCATGCCCCACTCTAGGATTTTTTACCAGTCTATAGAGAAACTAATTTCTCTGCCAGAAACAATTAGTCACTGGTATAATTCCTGGAAGCTTGCTGAAAATGTGAATTTACCCCCTATTTCCAAACAGTTAAGGAAATATCAGGGATGGGAGGAGTGAATGGACTTTACCATTTCACAGTCAGCATTACATTAGCTTTCCAGAGATTGACAAAAGATTGCTATAGCAGGTTTAAATATGGTATCTTTATTTTAGAAATATAATTTAACTGTATTTCCTGTATGTGGGAATTATGCTAAAATGCAGACATTTTAATACTTATACTGTCTAAAGTTTTTAATTTTCCAAATTTACAAATACATGGAAAAAAAAAAAATGTGTGTAAATTCCGCAATTTAAATGTTAAGGTTTTTGTGCAAAGCAATCAGTACATATAATGGTGGTGTTCTATATGTTAGCTGTGCATCCCTTGCTGCAAATAAATATTATGCTAACATGTTTTCTATCAAAAAGTGCTAGGTAGTGAAAGGGCTGATAAGTTGTATGAATTAAAAGACAAATACGCACTCTAACCACAATAGAGCATATCAAAATCAACAACCTAACAATTACACATGTGCAAACATTTTTTTGAACTCCCTTAAAGGACCACTATAGACACCCAGACCACTTCAGCTCAATGAAGTGGTCTGGGTGCCAGGTCCATCTAGGGTTAACCCTGCCTGCTGTAAACATAGTTTCAGGGAAACTGCTATCTTTACAAATGGGTTAATCCAGCCTCTAGTGGCCATCTCATTGACAGCCGCTAGAGGCGCTTCTCACTGTGATTTTCAGTGAGAAGACGCCAGCGTCCATAGGAAAACATTGAGAATTCCGATGACGACCGAAGGAGGAGAAGAGTCCCCAGCGCCGAGGGAGCCCGGCGCTGGAGAAAGGTGAGTGTTTAACCCCCTTCCTCCCCCTTCAGCCCGGCGGGAGTTGGACCCTGACGGTGGGGGCATTATAGTGGTCCTTTAAACAAATGAATACACATTGCAAAGTCCATAAGGAAAATTACATGTTAATTACTCTGTCACTTATTAGATTGATCAATGCATTTGGCTATCCTTAACCTTCAGCCTGTGAAATATAACTAACTCATGAAGGCATCAGCTTTCTTTTTTTTGCCATTAACCTTGTGTTATCGACCTATCAGCCTCAATGTTGCAAGACTGAAGGGATACCCTAAGCACCAAAACAACGTTAACTTAACGCCTTAGTGAACAGATTGTTTTTCAATGTTCTTACCGTTAAGGACCAGGGCTCTTTTTACATTTCTGCTGTATTTGTGTTTAGCTGTAATTTTCCTCTTATTCATTTACTGTACCCACACATATTATATATATTTTTTTGCCATTAAACGGTCTTTCTAAATATACCATTATTTTCATCATATCGTATAATTTACTATAAAAAAATTATAAAATATGATGAAAAAAAATGTAAAAAAACCTCACACTTTTTCTAAATTTGACCCCCAAAATCTGTTAGGCATCTACAACCGCCCAAAAAACACCTGTGCTAAATAGTTTCTAAATTTTGTCCTGAGTTTATAAATGCCCAATGTTAAAATGTAGCTTTTTTTGCATAGCGTGTGATCTGTCCTCCAACCAATGCCCACCAGTGATTTAACAGGTCCCATCTTCATAGGATTGAGTCTTGCTAGTGTCTGGCTGCCCTGGCCACCTGCCTCATAATTAACCCTTACGCTGCCAAGGGTTTTTATCTATTTGTCTGATGGCATATAGTGGGAAAATATATTTTTAAATTATCAATTCACTTGCTAAAAAAGCTTAAACAATAATCTGCAAATGTCCGATTCAGAATTGTGTTAGTATTAGTGATTTGTGAATATTCAGAATCCTATAATTCTCACTAACTCTTGTTTTTGGCTATTTTTTTTGAAAAAGATGTTACATTTTTATGACCACAAAATGCTTATAATGCACAAAATCTATACACAGCGGTTTTAAATTTGTGAGGTACATTGCTTAAAAAGGAGGGATGAATTGAGATGGTTAAATTTTGTTTAATTAGTAACTTTATCTAATACACCCCCAAAAAAAAAGACTAATTGCCATTTAAACCCAGAATTGCTAATCTTAGGATCCGACAACTCCTTCCAATCCTGCTTAAGTTTAAGAACTTCATTTTGTCATCTGTGGTGATTAAATTAGATTAATTTGTACAGTAACTGCACTGATTTCTCTTTAAAGTGACACTACAGACACAAAACCAACTTTAGCCTAATGAAGCATGCTTTGGTGTATAGATCACGCCTTCTCACTGCTCAATTCTCTGCCATTTAGGAGTTAAATCATTTGTTTATGCAGCCCTAGACACATCTCCGTGCATGAGACTTACACAGCCTTGCTAAATGCTTCCTGTAAAGAGATATCTAATGTTTAAACTTCCTTTATTGCAAATTCTGTTTAATTTAGAATTCCCTATCTGCTTCTCTGTTAATAACTTGATAGACACTGCAGGAGCCTCCTGTATGCAATCCAATTCACAGAACAGTAGATAAAACGTTTTAAAGCAAGTAACATCTGATTGAAAATGAAACCATTTTTTTTTTTTTTTTTTATGGAGTCTGTGTCAATCACAGACAGGGGAGGTGTGGCAATGGTTGCATAAACAGAAACAAAAGTGATTAAAGGGACACTATAGTACCCTGAGGGTGCCCCCACCCTCAGGGTCCCCCTCTTGTGGCGCTGAAGGGGTTAAAACCCCTTTAGCTACTCATCCTTTTCCCCCGCCGGGCTCCCTTACCTCTCCTCCCCCACCAATGTCAGCATCCTATGGACGCTCTGCGTGACTGAGGCATAATATGCCTCAATCATTGGCGACGCGCCTCTAGTGGCTGGCTTAACCCCAGATGTAAACATAGCAGTTTTTCAGAGACTGCTATGTTTACATCAGGCAGGGTTAACCCTAGAGGGACCTGACACCCAGACCACTTCATTGAGCTGAAGTGGTCTGGGTGACTCTAGTGTCCCTTTAAACTCCTAAATGGCAGAGAATTAAGCAGTGAGAACAAGTAATTCTCTGATGTTTAGGAAAATAGGATAGGCAGCAAAAAGAATTTCAACTAATCCCCCTCTTTTCAACTAAAGGGAATACAATACATTGTAAAAGGAAAATAATAAGGAAGTTGCACAATGTAACATTAACAATAAGTATTGATTGTAGATGTATCAGATCTGATCCATTTACAAGCAATACTTACTGTAGATTAAAAGTGCCTGAAACGTAGATCCCCAGATGTTTTAGAACTACAACTGCCATGATGCTTTGCATGCCTTTAGAATGACACAGCATCATGGGAACTGAAATTTCAAAATGTGGGGATTTATCTTTTGGGCACACTGCTGTAGATGTTCTTTAGTGCAACCTTCTTTTTTACCCCCATTGTATGTCATGCTGAGAAATTTTAAGTGCTAGTGTAGTATTTAACACACAATAGAATTTCTTTTATGCCGTCAGAATAAAGGGGATTTTTGGTTATTGTTCTATTTCAGTATAACTGAAACTTAAATCACTGAATGTGTGGGCAGAGAACACTGCACTTTTAAAGGGACTCTGTAGACATCACTTCATACAATTGAAGTAGTTATAGTGTCTGGAGTCCCCAGCCACTGTACTTTCATTCAGCATTAACACGTTTTTAATGTTTTAATGCTAAACAAGAGTCCCCTGCAACCTATCTCTTCTGTCCTGCTTGGGCTAAAGTGGAAGCATTAATCTGAGCAGAAACAAGCGTCTGTGATTGGCTGAGAGTGTCAGCCTATCACAATGCCATGGCAGGTATGAATTTGTATGGCTATGAGGAATTGTGCAATTTTTGACTTAGGTTCACAAAAAAAAAAAGAAAAAAGATTGTGTAAAACTGCTCAAAAAAAGGTTGAACACTGAATGTAGAAATAGTGCCAGGGGACTTCAGGCACTATAGCAAATTCAATAAGATGGAATTGTTATAGTGACTACGGTGTCCTTTTAAAGTGGACTTGCAACTTGTGGGGTTTGTGCTTTGTACATTGAATGGTAAAAAAATTACTAATTGAACTAATTTGTATATGCCCACCTAGAATCCCTTGCAGTAGTAACATCACTGCAAATTTGAGCTTTCTGTGGGGAAAGCAAATCGTAAGGCTTGACTGGTGTGTGCAGGTCTATGTATTGACTATATATATTAATAGAGTTTATAACAGGGGTGCCCAAAAGGTTGATCCCCGGATGTTTTAAAGCTACAACTCCCATGTTGCTTTGTCATTCTAAAAGGCATGCAAAGCATCATGGGAGCTGGTTTATAACTTGCTAACAAGCACACACACAGATAGACTCTATGCTTGATAAAATTTACAATGCAAATTTTAATCTGCAGTAACCGATGTAGCCCTTTATTTGTCTTGGACATGCATAAACCACACAAGACCAAAATATGATGTGATCAAGCATTGAATAAGCAATTTTTGGGTCTTATTTTTATGAAAAATGTCTCCACTGTATGATATAGACCTAAATAATGACAGCACCATAGCCACCTAAATAGCCTGAAATATGGGGAGAATTACAAGGCCGTGTAAAAGAAAACATGCCAGGGTTGGATAATTAAAGCAGCTGGCATTATCACTGAGGAATTAAAGATTACAAAACAGGGATTATAGCTCTTTCTTTCTAATAGAACTGCTGCAAATCTTCCAACAATCTAAAAAGCCAAAGAAGGGTGGAGTGACTCAGCCATCAAATACTTGGGCATTTGGATTACTAACAATTTAACCCACTTGTACTTTTTAACCAACTAACTTCTTACCTATGCTGGCTATTTATCCAAAGAATTTTGCTGACGGGACACTGGCACATCTTCTGGCATGTGTTTGTGACCAACACGAACATTTTGCCAAGAATCCTGTACCTTTTTCAAGCCCTCCCAATAAATATCCCACCAGCCCTTTTTTACGTCTCTATATACTTAACATATCAGGTATATTTTGGAAGGGTACTAGGCCCAGAGATTCTCACAAATGATATTGCCCAGAACCACATGAGTCCTGGCTGTCTCTCCATGTCAGCTAGGCTCTCAGTTCAGCTACTCTGGATTTAAATTTGAAATTCACTTTGAATTCTCACTTCAGTGAATAACCTGTATAGAATCACATCACGTTTGTAGACCCATCTATGCCTTGCTACAAGCTAGACCCCCAAACCAACAGAAATGAGGTGCAAACATTTTTATTATCAAGTCTGTTGAATTATAGCAGAAATTATATATATGCACATACACATACACACAATTTAAAATAGCCAAGCAATAAAGTATTTCATGCCAAGATTACACAGCCAGAAAGTACCAAAGGGGGCACAGAAAAGTAAAACCAAAACCACTGAGGAAACAGCATTTAGTGGGCAATATATGTTTTTTCTTCTTCTGCTACCCTCTGTCTAATAGTGATGGGGAGATTCTTTATTGCCTTTCTATTTTATATTGTGGGAACCTCTGTCTATGTATATAAGTTGTGCGGTTTTTACCATTCAGATTTACAGGGAGTGCAGAATTATTAGGCAAATGAGTATTTTGACCACATCATCCTCTTTATGCATGTTGTCTTACTCCAAGCTGTATAGGCTCGAAAGCCTACTACCAATTAAGCATATTAGGTGATGTGCATCTCTGTAATGAGAAGGGGTGTGGTCTAATGACATCAACACCCTATATCAGGTGTGCATAATTATTAGGCAACTTCCTTTCCTTTGGCAAAATGGGTCAAAAGAAGGACTTGACAGGCTCAGAAAAGTCAAAAATAGTGAGATATCTTGCAGAGGGATGCAGCACTCTTAAAATTGCAAAGCTTCTGAAGCGTGATCATCGAACAATCAAGCGTTTCATTCAAAATAGTCAACAGGGTCGCAAGAAGCGTGTGGAAAAACCAAGGCGCAAAATAACTGCCCATGAACTGAGAAAAGTCAAGCGTGCAGCTGCCACGATGCCACTTGCCACCAGTTTGGCCATATTTCAGAGCTGCAACATCACTGGAGTGCCCAAAAGCACAAGGTGTGCAATACTCAGAGACATGGCCAAGGTAAGAAAGGCTGAAAGACGACCACCACTGAACAAGACACACAAGCTGAAACGTCAAGACTGGGCCAAGAAATATCTCAAGACTGATTTTTCTAAGGTTTTATGGACTGATGAAATGAGAGTGAGTCTTGATGGGCCAGATGGATGGGCCCGTGGCTGGATTGGTAAAGGGCAGAGAGCTCCAGTCCGACTCAGACGCCAGCAAGGTGGAGGTGGAGTACTGGTTTGGGCTGGTATCATCAAAGATGAGCTTGTGGGGCCTTTTCGGGTTGAGGATGGAGTCAAGCTCAACTCCCAGTCCTACTGCCAGTTCCTGGAAGACACCTTCTTCAAGCAGTGGTACAGGAAGAAGTCTGCATCCTTCAAGAAAAACATGATTTTCATGCAGGACAATGCTCCATCACACGCGTCCAAGTACTCCACAGCGTGGCTGGCAAGAAAGGGTATAAAGAAGAAAATCTAATGACATGGCCTCCTTGTTCACCTGATCTGAACCCCATTGAGAACCTGTGGTCCATCATCAAATGTGAGATTTACAAGGAGGGAAAACAGTACACCTCTCTGAACAGTGTCTGGGAGGCTGTGGTTGCTGCTGCACGCAATGTTGATGGTGAACAGATCAAAACACTGACAGAATCCATGGATGGCAGGCTTTTGAGTGTCCTTGCAAAGAAAGGTGGCTATATTGGTCACTGATTTGTTTTTGTTTTGTTTTTGAATGTCAGAAATGTATATTTGTGAATGTTGAGATGTTATATTGGTTTCACTGGTAATAATAAATAATTGAAATGGGTATATATTTGTTTTTTGTTAAGTTGCCTAATAATTATGCACAGTAATAGTCACCTGCACACACAGATATCCCCTAACATAGCTAAAACTAAAAACAAACTAAAAACTACTTCCAAAAATATTCAGCTTTGATATTAATGAGTTTTTTGGGTTCATTGAGAACATGGTTGTTGTTCAATAATAAAATTAATCCTCAAAAATACAACTTGCCTAATAATTCTGCACTCCCTGTAATATGAGAAAATTCAGTTTAGTAAAAAAAATCCTGCAAGTGAGCCAACTACAACCAATCTGAGACAGGGGTAGTAAGAGACTAGATGTTTATTTTTGAAGAGCTGTAGATAGCCTAAGCCCTTTTGGTCAACCCTGGGCTGAGATAACATGTAATGTTGATTTTCTAAATATAAAAAGTTAGGGAAACAAATATGATGTGTAATGTGTTCAACTGAATGGCAAATATCAGTAACATATTTGCAACTAGTGGTCAGACAGGTTATTAAACAAGCCGGCATTACCTTTATAACAAAGAATGTCCCATTCACCTTCATAAAGCTGTATTTATACATAAACAGGCCTTAGGGTAGTCCTTAATGATTGTAACCAGGCCCTGACAAGTTGCTACATAAAATATCTAGATGGTAACTTGTTTCAATTCAAACTCTGCTAAATTTACATTTTCTAAAGCACAATTTGACTAGAAAGGAATCAGCATGTCACAGCACAAACAGGGTTCTGGTGTAAAACCCAAGCTCAAGTCAGAGAACACCATATATGGAGGGTGCACGTATTGAAAGTTTAATAACAATAACAACGCATTTTTAGTTTATCTTGGGCTTTATATATATACCAAACACACAATATCTGGATTTTTCTGCATTGTGCATGGGCCGATATACACAGCGGCTGCAATCTACGTTAGGAGTCTCCTTCCTAGTTTCCTACTTTTGCTTGTTATGTGGCGGCTGAGCAGTCAATCTTCTGATTATTCAAATGAATTACATTTTATTCAACATAATACTTTTAAAATCCAATAAACTTAGTCAGACAACTAATATGTAGGGGGTAAATTGTCAGGTGACCATTTAGCTGTATGGAATAACATATCTCGTAATTCCTAGAAAATAAAAGATGGTATATGTCTCTGAGTGACTCTACAACACAGAGTTATAGTTCCACAAACACTGGACAGTTACGTGATAACCGCATCTGATCTATAGACTGTTTTTTTTTTTTTATTAATCTAAAGTTTCAATCATGGTTGTCTCTCCAAGCAAGCCCAATATTAAGTATGCATTTTCTTATATTTTTAGTGAACAAGCAAGTTAGCTTTTTGTTTTTGCAGAGGAACCCAACAATATAATAGATCGCCATCTTGTGGAGTTTACATGAACAACTGGTGACTGGTTATCTGCTTTACTGAAAAAGCACCTGCTAGATATTTGTTTAGAGACAGTTCATTTTTTTTTTACACCACAATGTACAATGCTGGAAGGGTTTACCATTGTGTAATTAACAGTGGAGGCCGTGGAGCTCACTTTACAAATGACTGGAAGGAAGAATCTTGGATAGTCTTCCAATGTGTGGAAATGAAATCATGTTTTCATAATTTCACATAATTTGAGTTTGCAAGTTGCGTGCACAGATCCATGGACTATTAAGAAATTTGCATTAAATGCCCTTATGTGCCTTTGCAGGCCATCAATTCAAATGTAAAATGAAATACTAAATGAAAAAAAAAAAATGAAAAAAAAACCTATAAATGCAGATTCTAGATCTTTGGTATTTTTTGTCTCAATATAACTTACCTTAGGAAACTTCATTTTACTTTTGTTTTTTTTATTTTTCAAAACACTCGAAAACTATCAAAAACACTCTAGTTCCCGACTATTGTATTTCAGGAGCAAAACCCTCCCATGCACCTTATAATGTTTTTTTCTTCTTCCCATATTTAAAGTTTTATTGAATTATGACTTAGAGAACACAAGAACATAGTATATGGTGTAAGAACAAGAACATGGAAACAACAGTAGAGATTATTTTTGATTATCAACAGTGATCCAGTGACAGTTTTGATATGCAGATCACACATATGAACTTATAACATTGGAAACTTAAACAGTTGCATCGGTACCTGTCAGAGGCGATGGTGGACTGCTCTGAGCCTGGTTAGGATATAGGAATGGAATAGAAAGAAGTATAAGGAGGAAGGAGTACTGTAAAGAAGAGTATAGAGAAGTGGGGATTAAGAAAGCGAGAGAGAGAGAGAGAGAGAGAGAGAAAAAAGGAAGTGTCCCGGTAATATACGTGGGAAGAAATCGGTTATCACCTCGATTTCCAAATGGCAGTGCATTTAGAGGTGATTCCAGAAATTCAGTGGGACATTGCTTCATATAACTTAACCTTGTCCACCTAGGATTTAACTTCCTGTATAACAGGGGAAACTGTAAATTGCCAGTGGGATGCTATTCCTGTTTTAGCTGCTACAAGAATATGCATTACAAGATCTTTTTTTGTTCGTCTAATGTTTGGTGGGAAAATATTAAGGAAAATCCTTCTGGTGTGTTGGAAATAGGTGGGGATGTGGTTTTAGAAATAGTATGGCACACGTGCTCCCAAAATTGCTTTAGGGCTGGACAAGCCAGAAAAAAAGAGAAATAATGCCTGTGTCTTGAGCTCACCGCCAGCAGGTTCAATTCCCCTGTTAGCCATGAAGCTATGTTAAGGTCAGGGGTATAGAATTTCAGGGATGAGAACAGGAATAATATAAGCGGATAGCAGGAGCGGTGTAGCCCAAGCACACCACATATATAGGAAATGTTTTGTCTTGTTTAGTGCATTATAGAGTGGTAATCTATGCTTAGGGAATCATATGAGTTGGAGCATGTTGTATGGGCATAAAACAGCATTCCCAAGCAGGGATGCAGCTATATAGTATTTCTTTATGTCTGGGAGCCCAGGCCTTCCTTTGCTGGGTGTAGCCGGCAAGTGTTATGGGATATCCTGGGTTGATTCTTTTTCCAGATGTATGTGGTTATTTATCTCTGTAAGTTCGCTAGCAGTGTATTGTGGAAAGCTCTAGGGAGGGTTCTGAAGAGATACAGGAATATAGGGAGAATGGACATTTTAATAGAATTGATTCTACCTATCCAGGACAACTCCAATCCAGCCCAAGTCTTTAAAAGGACACTATAGTCACCAGAACAACTACAGCTTAATGTAGTTGTTCTGGTGAATATAATAGTTCCCTTCAGGCATTTTCATGTAATCACTGCCTTTCAGAGAAAAGAAAGTGTTTACATTGTCCCTAGGGACGCCTCAAAGTGACCACTCCTTATATGGCCACTGGAGGGGCTTCCTGGCTCAGGGCTGCACAGTAAGCAGCCCTGACGTTCAGTGTCTCCACGCTCTGCATGGAGATGCTGAATTTTCCTCATAGAGATGCATTGACTCAATGCATCTCTATGAGGAGGTCCTGATTGGCCAAAACAGCATTTGGCCCCGCCCCATGCAGATTTTAGCCAATCCAATACTTTTCCTCCTATGGGAAAGCATTGGATCTGCTTAAAGCGGCACTGTCATGCCGAACTTACCTTTCCTCAATCTCTTCCTCTTCTCCCCCTCTCTCAGGATCTGTTCTTCTTTTCTTCCTGTCTTCTTTAGTTTTCTTTAAAATCATAAGACAAAGAAGGGACTCTTTGCCTTATGGAGGATTCCTCCGCTTGACCAGCTCTGACCAGCGGAGGAGCAAAGTGTGCTTCATTTCCGCTGGTCAGAGCAATTTTCCCATGATCCTTACCTTCCCTCTGTGTTCCCACAATGCTTCCTGTCACTTTACACAAAACTGCCGAATTGCGTTCTAACTGAATGAGAACAGTATGTTCGTTTCTTTTAGAACGCAATTCGGCACTTTATTCGGATCGGAATTTCATTCTAATGAATGAAACTCTGATCCTATTCATTGCTGTGGCTGCATCTTGCAGCCGCTTAGTAGATAACTCCCTAATTCCCACGGTATCAGGGAGCTATCTACTAAAAGGCTGAAAGACCTAAATTGGTCTTTCAGCCAAATTTACTAATACTGAGTAAAGATTACTTAGTATTAGTAAATTAAATGCCCCTACTCGCTATAGTAGGGGCATGTGTAGTAAGCAGTGAGCAGCTTATAGCTGCTCACTGTAAAAAAAAAACAAAAAAAAAAACTAATAACCCCCCCCCCACGCCCGTGGGGGCCCTAAATAAAGATGGGGGGAACCTGGCCCCCACCCCTGAGCGGTGGGTGGGGGCCCTAAATAAAGATATGGGGGGGAACTTCTGTCCCCCCCCCTGGCCCCCACCCCTGCGCGGTGGGTGGGGGCCCTAATAAAACAATAAGGGAGGGGACCTACTGTCCTCCCCCCCTGGCCCCCACCCCTGAGCGGTGGGTAGGGCCCCTAATAAAACAATAGGGGGGGGGAACCTACTGTCCTCCCCCCCCGGCCCCCACCCCTGAGCGGTGGGTGTGTTCCTCACCCTATAGTAATCCTTTAAGGTTTGTCTGTTTATATGTAGTACTTTAGTGTGATTTTGTCAGACAGTGGAATTAGAATTGCTGTAAGCTGAATTGCTAAATACGAGATAGATGTAGTTCGTCAGTTAAAAGTTGTAAATATGTTTTAGGAGAGATACTGCTCTTGTTGGAATTCCTATTGTGAGTGCTTGTGTTTTGGTGGTGGTGTTCTTGTACTAGGACATTGTTCCAAACTTTGCTAGCAGTTGTAACCAGTTGGGTAGGGACACCATGGGATCTGAGAGTGAAAGGAAGATATTGGCCACGAATAACGATTCAATTATGATTGCCCAATAGGTTTTCAACTCCACAAATGTTGTTTTGCCTTCTTTTGCAAACTGGACATTATGATTCACTCGCCTATTCTAAATCAAATCTCAATAAACACCTGGATTTGATGGGACAGCCATAATTTGTGGCTGCTTCCCCAACATCCCAGGTTTGCGCTCTGATTTCCCACTTCTGGGGACCCGAAAGAAGTGTGCCCAGTAAATGCAAAACAAATTCATCATTAGAAACATCTGAACTTTTCAAACTAAATTCATGACATTCAGGTTATGCAAGAACGATTCCGTTTGCTCTGCACTTGTGTTAAAATGCCTCTTTCTGGTCAATTCTACCAACCTTTACATGACTGAAAACACCCCTCCAGACCTGCAAAATCCCCCCATTCTTCTCATTCCTTGTCTCGGACACTTAAGCTTTCATCAAGTTTGGCATGACTGTCTCCAATTTACTTATTCCAGCAAACCGCTCAATACGATGTGCATAGTAATGTGAAAAACAATTAAAAAGGGACACTATAGTCACCAGAACAACTACAGCTTATTGAATTTGTTTATGGTGAGTAGAATCATTAGCATTGTGATTGGATCAGACTACCACTTCTGATGATGTCAGCAGGCTGCTTGTTTTTTTTTTAGGCAAACAGCATGCAGATCCACAGCTTCTGGCTTGAATACAGTAAGAAGTTGCAATATTTATGGAGGCATGAGGGGCAAGATGGTGGGTTTAACACTATAGGGTCAGGAATACATGTTTGTGTTCCTGACCCTATAGTGATCCTTTAAGATTGTAGCCTGCTCTTTTAAAAAGCGTATAAAACTCCAGAAAAATGTCTAAGCTTGAAGAAATGCACATGAAAACATTAGTCATATTTGAAAATACGTTTTCGTTAGTAAAAGACAAAAAAAAAAAAAAGACAAAAAACAACATCCTACTTACCCAGTAGAACAAAATCATCAACCTCTTTCTCTTGAATGGTAGACTTCTTTGTTGCATCTTGGCTTTTCCTGAAAAAGCTGAACATTTTTCACAATTCAAATCTTGAATCTGCAAGACAAAAAATTTAGAATGTAGTAATATTTAACCTACTAAAAATAACTTTAATGTCTAGAGTTGGCGCACTGTCCCTACTCTTCTCCCCTTCCGCTTGCTCAAAGTCTGGAAGCCAAAAGGCTCGGACACACTGATTGCCTTAGAGCGGTCAGCTGACGCTCTCAGGTTATAAATGGATTCCCATTCATAAAACTGGCTTGAACGAAAACCTATCTTTTGTCAAGGCAGTTTTATGAATAGAGATCCGGTGCTGGAACACAGACTTTGAGGTTAAACCATTCGAGAACAGTTTAACCCCAAAAGGTGAGCCAGCACCAGGGGTCTCCTGGCAGCAGAATAACTTAATTTTGACGAACTTGTTATGGTGCCCAGGGTTCCTTTAAAGAGACCCTATAGTCACTGTAATTGCTATATCACATTGAACCGATTATAGTGTCTAGCGTTCCCAGATGTCATTTTTCCATTAAAGACCTGCATGGTCCCTAGATATAATATTACCACTAATCCATATGATACCCTTATCAAGCATCATGTTTGCTGCTAGTATGCTATGCCTGCTGATGATAGATGCTCATATATGCACAGAATTAAAACGATCCAGCCCATAATCCTCCTCAGGACTGGCTATTAACAAAGTAGTAATGTACTGCATATCTGGATGTGGAGTGTTCTGAACCAAAATGATGCACTTTTCCAAGCATTATGACCACTTGAAAACAATGAAGTGGTAATGGTTCTTGGAATAAGAAATAAAACAAGATGTAGAACGTCTCGTTTGAATTGGGAGAGGAAACGACCAGGTAGTTTTTTTTATTTTCTTTACACAACACTAAAGGGCCAAGAGATTTACCACACAACATCAGTTTAAAGAATAAATATTCAAAGAAAAAGCTGAATTTTTTTTATTTCTTTTATTGAGGCAAGAGAACAGTATTACAGAATAAATAAATCAGAGTTAAAGCAGTTATAACATATCAATGATGCAGTTGTTATACCAAATAACAAACTCCTTTTTTTTTTTTAATATAAAAATAAACAAGCTAGGCCTACATTGGCTACATTCATGAGTGAAGTATCAGCAGAATGGTCAGACTTGTCCTAACAATAGACACAACAATAGCTGAATAACTTAGCCTAAGTGTGGACACGGACATTAACAATAGTATGTACTCAAGATGTCAAACATGTCTAGGGTAGAAGGAGAAATCAAGGTACACTCAGAGTGTATCCAGACATGTGCTTATTAAAAAATAATGTGAATAATCACATTAGAGACAGGAATCATTCGAACGTTGCTGTATCTAGCCATATATAGTGGGAAACAAACTATAAAGATAGACAAAATACATGATAAACAGGCATAGAAAGCTCATAGCTAATCAAGATAATAACGGACAAAAGGCTTCATGAAGCGTGGCAGCTAGTAGTGCAGATGGGGATTTCCTAATAGTTATGCAGTGGAACTTCCCTGGAAGGTGAGTAATCAGTCAGCCTACACCCAAGACCGGGAAGCATAAGGCAGGCATGCCTAGGGTCCGAGTGGCAACGGCTTCTTGGATGTTAAGTTTGGCACAAATCAAGCCCCAGGCCGGTTTACAGGTTTGAACCTTAGTGCCACAGACTTGAGAGCCCAGAGAAAGTTCAGCCCTGGAGGAGGGAAACAAAGCAACCTTGAGGTTTCTTTATCGTTGCTGGCTGTAGGTCCTCTGCCTTTGCGGGTGATTCCTCGGGGTCTTGCCCCCTTGGCCCTAGGACCGAGCGGGCTAGCAATTGTGGATTCTTTCGCTGGAGAAGAGTGATTGCCCAGAGGAGACTCCCCCAACGACCTGGACCCGCTCCCCCAAATCTCTTCACAAGGTTAAGACAATGAGGCCGTTTAATGCGCCACCAGGGAGGCCCAGATGTTATCAAGGAGCTGCTCCAGCCGCTAGGTTTGCTTAGTGGGGCTGGGTTGTTCCATCCAATGTCTGGGTGCGGTTCGAGTGAATATAGCCGCCATTTTGTGTGCAGCAACTGTAGCTTGCACTGAGCTAGTGCAGCAGCAGAGAGCTCCATCGGTATGGACTGCAACCTCCCCCCCCCCCCCGGTCCAGAGGGGGGGAAAACGTCTGCTTGATTCCCCACAGGGAGGTAGGCCACCACTTCTAGGTCAAGTCTTGCTAGGCCGCAATTACATTGAGTTGAATCTCAGTCCCTGCAAGGCACACAAATGCACCAGTCTGGCAATGTGAACTGTTCAATAACTGAGCTGAATGGGGTCATGGACAAAACGACTGATTCTGCAACTATTGTTAGAAATGAAGGAGGAATCCATCACACTATAACTCAACATGGCTGAACATATACTTTTCATGTATGCTTAACTCTTCAAATCAAAAATAGAGAATGCTTAGAATGGGCAACAACTAATTTTCTAGCACATAATTTATTCTCTAACCTTTATAGACTAAAACTTGGAAACTAAATAAGCACGTCATAAAACCTGGTTTTGTAATATTTGAGGGGGAAGAATGCTATGCATTCGAACAAGAAGGGTATTGCAAACACAATTTGTTTTTGCTTTTCCTCTGTGCAAAGGTTTCATAGTTACAAAACCCAAAGCACAGACGCATCTAGCACATTATGAAAGCAGAAGAAAAGTATCACAAGAACCTCTGGCAGTAAATCACATGAGAAAGTATGTATACCCCATCAATTCATTTTTTTTTTTTTTGCTGTATTAATATAAGCTTTGAATCAGTCACATAAGAAAATAAATCAATGATTCTCAAAAAGGTTTGCTTCCCAGGTTTAAATAGATTGCAGGGATTAATAAAAATACAAACTTCATTAGGCTGAACTTGGCACGGATCCTTAAAAACCATGGGAACGAAAGATTCACACTCTAAGAAGTGACACAGAGGGTAACATTCTGTCCCCAAGTATTGAAGTGGGCAGCTCCTATGGTTCCTGAAAGTCTACCATCCCCTACCAAGGATGCCATGTTGGAGGATTGGTTAATCATCCATGATTCAAGACTTGTGGGTTAAGAGACTTCTTGGCATGTTTCTTAGCCAAGATCCAGCATCTGGAAAGGTCAATGAATGTAATTCTGATGAAGATAGCACTGTAACTTCTTAAAGCAAAGAAAACAATGAAGATTTGGAAATTTATCAAAACAGGTGCTATTTTACGTGAAAAGTTCTAAATGTTGAGACACATTCTAATAGTTTCTATGGGAATTGCTTTTTATTTAGCTCTTTGCCCCAGAATAGCACATGTTTATGCCTTGAAAAATATCCCCCTAAATCTAGACTGTCTTGGGGAAAATATTTCATAACAAATAGCTTTTACGGGATGTTAATATCAATGTTAGCCAAGTTAAAAAATAATACTGCAGTAAGAAAAAGCCCACAGCAAAGAGAGAGAAATTATCAATTACATCAGAAGACACAATAAAATACCCCAACTGGGCAACAGACAGGTCACTAATTCCAATATTTGATATCCATTATGTGGACAAATAAAATGCAATAGTATTTAAAACGTCTACGCGTTTCGCCTCCGGCTTAGGACTGAGGTTGTAGCAAATTCCATCAAAATACTCTGATGCCCAGTGGAATACACCAACCCGGAGACTGACTGTTTGGCACGTGAAGTATACCCGGGAGAGACGAACACTTCATCTACAGACTGATTTAAAATCCAGGCTAATATTCTCTTGCCTCTTTTTACACCTTTTATAATTTACATTTTATTTTTGTGTGTTTAATACATTTTATATGCTGTACTACACTCCTCATCGGTCTATAACCACAGTATATGAATTGTGATGGATTTCTATACATGATAGGAGTGGTAGTCCTTGATATTCAATATTCACAAAGTGCTGCAAAGAATGTCACTATTGTTTGCTTTTTCTTCGTTTACATGCTCAATGGAACATATTCTAAAATATAATTGAGAAGAAATTGCACAAACGATCAAGACTATTTAGAACAAGCCAATAAGATTAAAATTCAATTCTTACAGAAAGGATATGAAGAGACCTCTCTACAAACAGCCTTAGACAGCGTCCAACAAATACCGAGAACTGATCTGTTAGTATACAAAAAAAAAAAAAAGATCTCAATTGGAACAATAGAATTATAATGTAATTATAATGGCAATAATAGAAAAATAGAAAAATTAACAAAATTATGAATAAACACTGGCATATTTTAAGAGACGATCCAGTACTTGAAAATATTTTGCTGGAAAAGCCTAAAATAATCTTTAGAGGTGCCAAAAATTTGAGAAACACTCTGGTCCAAGGTAGTAATAAAGAAAGAATAACCGAAAAAAAAACATTTTCTCAATGAATAAAGGTTTCTATGGATGCGGGCAATGTCTAGCATGCAAAAATACTAAAAGCAAAAAAAAGACATTTAACAGATCTGGAACCGTTTATAAATCAAAAATTTTCAATAAAAAACCCTTTAACTTGTCACTCCAAGGGAGTGATTATGTTTTAAAATGTCCATGCAATCTCCTATATGTGGGCCGTACAATCCGAAATTTTAATATCAGGGTAGCTGAACATATGAGAAATATAAAGAATGGCGTTCAATCCCACAGTGTCTCAAACCATTTTAGAACAATGCATCAACAAAATCCAGAAGGGATGTTCTTCTGTGCTGTTAAATCAGTAAGGAAAGATTGGAGAGGGGGGATTATATAAAAAAAAAATAGGAAAAGAAGAAATGAAATTTATATTCCATTTTAATACTATGACACCATATGGGTTGAATAATGATTTTGAATTATGCCACTTTATGAACTAATTTTATTCCATTTAATAATATATTTTTATGGAGGTAATTATTTTAGGAAATATTACACATTTTTATCACCTATTTTAAACAAACTAAATATGCAGCTATCTTTTAATTTCTTTTAAAACATATTTTCTATTTATATATATTTTACCCTTTACCTACACTTTTAAGGTACATTATCTTTTTCCCCTTTATTAATAGAAATTGGTATTACGCTACATATTATATTTTGTTATTATAACATCTTTAATATCCTATATTTATAAATGTCATCTTTTGTTACAACTATTCACGCTTCGTATAACTATAAGATCTATATTGTAACATGAAGCTGCTGCAGAACACGATAGAAAATGAAAAGAAAAGATGGTTAACGAACGTTGGAACGCACGTTGCGTTCCAACTAGACGCAACCCGGAAGTAAAATAAATCGGCGTTGGAACGCACGTTGCGTTCCAACAACACGGAACCCGGAAGTGATGTACATAACCAATGAGACCGGCGAGCGGGCTATTTAAACGAAGGCAGAAGCATACAGATGACACCACAGCCAACTGAGGAAGCCTGTTGAGCAGGCGAAACGCGTTTTGGACTCTTGAATTTTGACTTTTTTATTGGACCATCAAGTTTACCCAGAATTATCTGGCAGATATATTCACTTTCTTTTTATATTGTAATATTTTTTTTTACTGAAGAAATAAAACCACTTTTAAAGGATTGCTTCTATATCGGGCATTCTTTGGGTCACCTACTAAGAAGTATAAGGGGCAACACCAAGAATCTTGAAAAAGAAGGGTCCGGACAACCCCTAATGGTCCAAGGAAGCATACTACTCGAGTCATATAACAGTGCGACTCTTGCATTGTGAGTTGAACTACTCTTTATTTTTATTCCACAGTGTTTTACAGACATATTGCACTATTTATTTATATCTTTTATTTTACAGAAAATTTGCGATATTTCAGAGCTCCACCTATTAAATTGTATGTATTAAAATATAATTGGGACAATATACGTATATACATATAATTATTATTCATTTTTTTTTAATTCTCTTTTGTGCTCCACTTTATGATGTATTTATATGCTTCCAAATTGACTACTTTGGCCTTAAATGTGAAATCCAGTGTTTATTCACTGGCCTGCACTACTGGCTTAGCTCAGAGCAAAGAGCTCCCACTAGTGATGTCCCGAACTGTTCGCCGAACGGTTCGCCACGGACAGCGAACATATGCGGTAAACTTTGACCCTGTACCTCACAGTCAGCAGACAAATTCCAGCCAATCAGTAGCAGACCCTCCCTCCTAGACCCTCCCACCTCCTGGACAGCTCACTAAGAATGCAGCTTCACAATGAATGTAAAATGGATGCTGTCCAGGAGGTGGGAGGGTCTGCTGCTGATTGGCTGGAATGTGTCTGCTGACTGTGAGGTACGGGGTCAAACTTTACCGCATATGTTTGCCGTCCGCGGCGAACAGTTCGGGACATCACTACTCCCAGCAAGTGGGGAGAACGTGTACCCCAGGTAAAATAAAAAAATTAAAAAAAATCAACAAATTACCAAACAGCTATGGTGCTTAGAGTGTTCATTTAAAGGTCATTGCAAGAACAGATCTATTATTTTGCATGGGTCTTAGAAACAGGTCTCACCATATAATCTTGTAAGGAAATACTATTTAACCTTTTCATGAGTAACTCTAGACTGTAAGATTAATTTCGTTTGAGCATGGTCCTCACCAACCTATTATTCCTGTAACATTTAATAACTGGTTCATTTATTATTAAATTTACCCATTTTATAATATTGTAAAATGCTGTTAAAATAGGTTGGCGCTATATAAATACCAATTTATTTATGGCATTTTATAGTAATCTATTGTACACATTTATGTTTCATAAATGGTCTACAGAGTTTTAAAGACTAATTTTTTTGAGCAGATATTTAATTTATTTGGTGATTATTCTCCTGTTAATTGGAATTATTTCTGAGAACTGACCAAAAAAAAATAATAATTTTCTTTCACTGTAGTTTTTATTCCCTCTTCTCCCTCCACTACTTAGAATAGATAAAAGAAGTCCTTGATTATAACCTAAAATACACATTATTTAGGAAAATCCCCCCAAAACAAACACATATAAAATACAGAGACCACCTGACACACAACAAAAACAATCACTATGGAGACACAGACAACAACATGAAACCCCCAGAGACAGGAAATAAGAGAAACAATATTACTATATCCAACCACTCACCCCAATACTTACCAACTGAGAGCCTGCTCAGAGAATGACTCACAGCCAGGGAGACAAATGTCCTCCTATACGAGCCCCTGGGCAGTGAACTGGGCAAGTCTAAGCCACGCCCTCTTGTGGGACCATCAAGTGACTTGTCCATGGTGATGTCACGCAGGAACCCTGCCCCGAGCTCCACGCACAACGTAAACACCGACCGTAGAAAGCGTCTCCGTGAGCGTGCTTGAAAGGTAGCGGCCGGCGCCATTTTGGTGGAGACCACGATGCAGCGGAGACAACGTCTTTGTTGTGTAGAACTCTCCTGCGTTTGTTTGTTTTTGTTCGGGAAACGAATTATAAATGGTATTGCATGGTATTTTTTTTTAAAATTAATTAATTAATTAATTGATATACGAAATGGATACATGTTCCGTTAGCTCCTATAAAGTTTGAATGCCGGCTTGGCAACAAGTGTTGCCCGCTTTAAAGATGGCGCCTGGCGCTGGCTTCACGTTCTGTGAGCTCGTCCTCTGATTGGTCGCGAGGTGGTTCTGTCACACGTGATGACGCCAGGCTCAGACAGTGTGCATTTCCCGCCAGACGAGCTGGGCGCCTTGTTGTGTGAGTCCTGGTCATGGCCGAGCTGTACGAAAGCCCGCGGGTCCGTATTAATAGCAGCATGCTGGCTCAGCACATAGGAAAGCCCGTGTGCTTTGTGGGCCGGGTGGAGAAGGTGAATACATTACACTGTCATCAAATCACTAAGGGCTTCTACAGCTCTACATATATTATGGAGATATCCTCTCCCCAAAAATCTCCCCAAGGAATACTATAAAAAAATGTGTGTGTGTGTATATATATATTTGTGTATGTATTTGTGTGTATGTGTGTGTGTATATATATATTTGTGTATGTATTTGTGTGTATGTGTGTGTGTATATATATATTTGTGTATGTATTTGTGTGTGTGTATCTATATATATTTGTGTGTGTGTGTATATATATATTTGTGTGTGTGTGTATATATATATTTGTGTGTGTGTATATTACACACACACACACATCTCTTAAAATTCCAAGTGCTATGGCTTTAAGAGTTACTTGTCACTACAAGTCTGGAGCGGTCCATGTCTTACCAGCCAGGGCTCAATTTTCACTTGCTATTTTTGAGTGGAAATTTCTAGACGTGTAAATATATAAAATAAATGTGTATTTTGCATTTATTTATGAAGTTACTGTGTATGGACATAGCATGGTAGATTGTGCTGGTATTTATTTAAATTATCTACCCACAGCAGTTCTAAACAAATATAAAGAAAGCCTTAAAGTGACCAGATAAACACCCTAAGAAACCATGCTCCTGGAGGCAGGTGCTTAATCTGCTTACTGGAAAATCCATCAGTGGGTACAGCCCCTAATCTTGTTACAGTATTGTGCCTCACTATTTACAATCTCAGAATGTTACTACATTTTGTGTGCACACCACTTATTTATAAATATACACATTTTGTACAGCATCATCCCTTAATGACTGCATGACAGTCTTTGCCAGGGTAGACAACCTTCAGCACTACATTTCTCATGATGCTCTACCAGCCATAATGCTGGCAAACGCCTGTCTATGCCATCATGCAGTGTAGGGCAAAGGTGAATTTAACTTGCCTGAACATGTCCTCTCCTGTGGACCCACCGCTATCTTCCAGCAAGTCGTCTTCTGCTCATGACACATGAGCACCAGAAGCTGATGTCACAGTGTTTCATTAAATAGCTAGTGGGATGTACACTTTCTAGAAATATATATATATATATATATATATATATATATATATATATTTTTTTTTTTTTTTGTGGAGCATGTTTGTGACTGCTATTAATGTTATATCAGCATGCCAAATTTTGCAAATGTTTATCTTTAAAACCAATTAAATTCCTTGCAATATTTGTTTTATAAGTGAAATAAATTTAAATTCTGGACATATTGGGCATTTTGGCATCTATTTTGAGTATTTTCTTTTCTTGAGTAGCACTTGTGTGGAAATTCTTAAATGCTTAAAACGTAGAATGTTTGGGATTTTTGTTTTCATTGTATTTTTTAATGTTATTGATATTTAATGTTTATATATATCTCTCTATCATAATCTCATTTGGAAATGAAATATGTATGGGTGAAATTGTGGTAAAATTAAAGCATGGCAAAAGTGCCAAAAAAGACATTGGTTACAAATTTGCCCCATAAGGACCAAGGAGGCAAAGTACCAGTGCTCTTCAAACGCATCTATACAAAGTAAGTCGGAAACTGCACAGATTGTTTATATACTGATAAGTAAAAAATATTGTTACATTACACACCGAGTTGGGTTAACTGCTATCATTAAGTTAATTGAATGGTATATGTCTTAGTCTAACATGCTCTTTTCCCAGAGACTGATAAATCAATTTATTCCCCCCCCCAAAAATTTTTTAAATACCCTTTGAGGTTATAGCTCAGGAGACATGTTACTTAAAACTTGTAATGCTACACTGGCAGTCATGATTTCCATGTTTATTATAGTTTATCAACACAGGTGTTGTATCACTGATTCATTTGCGTTTTACTGTAGGTTCATCCTTCTGGAACATCACTTGTACTATCAGATGGAGCTGGCAAAAATGCAACTGTTGAACTTTCTGAACCAGTATGTATAACGGTTTGCTCTTTGGCACCCCTTTTTAATTTTATTTTAATATGTAGCTGCATGGAAGGCTTAGTCCACAGCAGATTGGGTGTTATTGGTTCTTCATTTGTAGTAAACATCCGGTTAAGGAATTTGCTCCACATTGTGGAATGTATTGGTTCCGCCGATTAATAGCATCAACATTTGGCGTATTTCTGATCAACGGTATCTGTCTTGTAATTTACTGCCATTACTGAACTTACATTTCCCAGTCACAGCAAGCCATCTTCCACATCTGGAAACACCAGCTGTTCAGCTCAAGGTAGGGAGGTGAGACAGTATTGGGCTGGCTGACTAAAAGTGATAGGAATGCAATTGCACTTCTATCAGTAACCGCACTGTACATGCTATGAACTCTGTGATCCCAGTTTGTACTAGCTGCCTGAGAGTGGTAGGAGTGCGATTGCTGTCATCATTTTCAGTACATGCCAAATTTGTGTAGAAATTTTTTGCTTTTTCAAAACATTAAATGTACAGAATCAGTAATCTGCTTGAGACTTGACTATTTGTCTGTATTGGCATGGGCTCTGGAAAAATATTGGTTGACAGTTGTGATGTATGTCAGTACTGCAGTGATTCTCAAGCCACTTTTAACCCCTTCATGCTGGCAATTGTGTGTACACGATTGCCAAGGTATGCATCCATACCTGCAATTCTGTGTCCACGATTTGCGTAACTGGAAATTAAATTTAATGCAGACAAATTTTGTGTGCATATTATTCCTTTAACTAGTTCAGAAACTCATCGTACTTCAGAACTTTGGAGGGAATATATGGAAGTGCATATGCTTCTACTGTGGTTTTTGTGTAGATTCCAGACTTTATTAAACATCTGGAGCATAATAAACAATGAATAGTTTGCATTTGGAAATGCTGCAGAGATAAATGTCTTACATTAAAAAATGCTTTGGTTTTGTTTATTCCTTTGAAGAACTGCCACTTTGTAAATACATTTTTACTATAAATCTGTTACTGTGATATGTTTTAGCTACAAATGTTTGTGTGTCTGTGTGTATTTATACTACTGGTGCTTATTTATTTTTTGCATTAATTTAGTTAGATGAAGAACTTTCTGGCATTGTGGAAGTTGTCGGAAAAGTAACTCCAAAAGCGACCATAATGGGTATATCATATGTCATATTTAGAGAAGATGGAAACACATTTGGTGAGTAAATAATTTTAAAAAATCCTGCTAAATTCACTAGCACTCATATCCTGGGTACTTTCACATAGTGTATATATTCCAGAGGATACAAACTAAATTATTTTTGGCACCTGGAGTTAGGACAAGTGGATGTGTTTGATCGTAAAGCAAGGTGGTAATAATGCATGATAAAGATCAGGGAATGCATAGATGCTGTACTATCTTTAAATGTGATTTTCAATGTTAAAGCACAGTGATGAAATGCAGGAGTCTCTCTTGCTTCTGTTTTTCAATCTAGTTTAAATTTCTGTGACCCGCACTTTCATATTAAACTGCTCGAAAAACAAAACACACGCACATGTAATATGTGTGCATGTGCTGATTTTATTAATGGGCACATGATTTTTTTCCCCCTGGCTGTCACTCAGCAGGAGGTTTTTGTTCCCCTTCCTTTAGCATCACAGTTCTTGCCCAGTACATCTGCTTTTTCCCCTTCTCAAAAAGCTGTATTACAGTTCTTTGGGAGGCATTGAAAAGCTGCGCATGCTCACGGTTCCATCACTGGTCATTTCCCTGGCCTGGAGGGTTTTGCAAAGGCTTCAGACAGGATATCACCAGCTATCACATATGTATTTTTATTTATTTGAAGGTGGCATAATAGTGTTTTCTTTTGGGGTATTTCGATTAAACAAACTTTTTCCACACAGACAGTGGCAGTACTACAGCATGGGATTTTTGCTTGCATAAACCATCCTGGACAGGCAACATAAGTCTAAACCGTTTTAATAAATATGTTTTAGTAGCATCCTAAACTCCCCCCCCTTATGGGTATAGAACCCAAATTGTCTGCCTGTCCTTCCAGGGAACAGGTTTTAGGTTGCATTTGTCCCTTTGTTGTTTTTCTTAAATGTAGTAGGATAATCTGCGGGTGCAGACAGGTAAGATTCTGGCTGGGGAGCCTGCATGATCTTTGAGGCCCTCTGATCAAGCAGACTCTGTGGTTGTGGCACTTTAGATGCTGCAGAACATTTGCGTTTCACCGTCGATACGCTTGCATGCATACGCAAACGGATCAGGGAGTGTTCCTGGTGGCAAAATCTGACATTTCACAAAGTGCACTGGAGAGGTATTTTTAAGCTAAGAAATATTGGTGAAAAGTCCATTTTGAGACACTATAGACAAGAAGTCAAACTTATTTGAGAAGATTTTTGAAGGTTGTAAAAAATTTGGAAAAAGCATTTGATAAGAACTCGGATGAAGATCCTTTTGATTCAATTACAAAACATACACGTGGCTTCTGAGTTTCTCTGTGATGTAATGTTGAAGTTCAGCTGAGCTGTACAGTGAGTACAGGAGTGAGAAGCAGCTGCCTCCCCCAACTCCGGTGCTGGTAGGCCGTAATGCAACACTCTGGGCTTCCGGCGGTTTCAGGCTCGGGTGACGTCTTGAACAACTTGTCTGTGGAACCCCGACGTGGATAGTGCACTTTGGTAAGTTTGGCAGTTTGAGAGCAATGGGTATTACCCTGAATGTAGCGATATGGATGGTAGCTCATGCAGCATGAGTCCAAACAGCCTGAAGGTTAAGCTCCGCCCCCCAGGGCAATTTTTTCATCCGATTCTAAATCTAAAATAAACAAATACATCTCAAAGAAAAAGATCACAATGGAAACTTTTCACTCGGCTGTACATCTGATCAGAGAATTAGACTTCATGGCTTCCCTGGATGGAAAAGATGCTTATCTCTACAACTGCATAGCAATTCAGAGCAGAAGGTTAAGATTTGCCATAAGAAGAAAAAATGATTCTACATTTTGAATTCAGAGCATTGCCTTGAGCCTCATCTTCTCCAAGGATATTCACCAAGATTCTTTGTCCTTACAGGTGCGCCAAGAGAGAAGGATATACACATAGCTTTGTACCTAGACAATTGGGTGCGAATTGCAACATCTACAGACCATCTAAACAGAAATATTGTAGTAGTTTCTTCTATCCTGGATCAGCAGCAAAGAAAAATTACAACTTACTTGGACCCCAAAAATTATGTTCATGGATATCATCATAGATTCCCTACAGATGAAACTTCTTCTGCCCTCTTCTTTCTCAATTGAACTTCACGCAAATCTTCTAAAGGTATGGGACAAGAAACTTTTTAAATTGTTTTTTTTTTTTTATTTAGGCTCAAGCATTCAAATTTGGCACTCAACAAAAGTTCAGCTCCTTTGGTAAGCTAGGGGAAGATTTTTTGGCTTCTGGAGTATCTTTTAGAGAGAATGTATCATCTTGTCACCACAGATGCTTCAAATCCATATTGGGGGCACATTATATAGACCTTTCGAGAAGAAATCTTTGGATTCTTCCAAAATTTCAGACACTGGAACATCAACCTACAGACAAAACCTTTTGGAAACTTGCAAACTGACAGCATGGTTTATAAAGAGAAATCTTAAAATCACATGGCTTTGATCAAAAGGTTATAGAGCCAAGTAGTCTTGAAGCTCTGGAGAATTTTTTTTTGTGTGATTATTTCAAAATATTAACCCTTTACATGCCTCCTTTTAAAATATTTTGAGATTTGCAGTTAGGCTTTGCTAAGGGCCTTAAGCCAGCCTCCATTAAAGGAAAATGTCAGCCATCGGTTTGACTAAAGAATTTAGCTTCCCATCCCTTGTTGATCAAATTTGTTAAAGCTATCAATGAGGGAACACATTGCTTCATGGGATTTAAATTTAGTTTTGTCAGCATTTATGGCTGAGCTTTTTGAACCAATGAGAGATATATTGTTACACACGCAGCCTTTAAAGACTTTTTATTTATTTTTTTCTTCTGGTGACTAACATATTGTAGAACTAAATTCAGTGGGAGCTAAATCTCCTTCTCTTGTGTTTACACAGATAAAGTTGTACTTGGAATCCTACCTTTTTTTTCAGGCCAAAGGTTTCTTTTTCAGCTAATATGCAACAAATTATCCAGCCTATGTTTTGTGAAAATGCTGTTCATTCACAAGAAAACGTTCTTCATAAATTAACTGTGAACAATACTCTACAAATTTTATTTAGAAAGAACTTACTTATTCAGAAAATCTGTGCATAACTTACTTTTTCAAGGTATAAATAAAGTGCAGCCTCCAATGCTACTATATCAAGATGGATAAAAAAAAAGTTTAAAACCTTATCTGGTTTATGGAGCGAATCCTCCCCTCTGCATTAAAGTGCACTCCACAAAAGTTATATCTACGTCATGGGCTTCTCACATGTCAGCAATTCACATTTGTAAAGCAGCGACATGGTCTTCATTACATGTTTCCTAAAGACTACTAAACACATCCTTGCTTGTGAAAATGCTTAATTTTGTCAAAAAAGAACACCCTTCCTATGTCTCTGCTGTAGTACTGCTGCTGGCTGGAAAACCAGAATGTCTTACATTCCATTTGCCATAGATATGTGCAACTTTCCCTCCCTATATTAATAAATTTTGTATACAGTTGTGACTTTTTTTTTACTGCAGTTCTATGTTGTGGCTCTGGCTTTATACCCAATAGAGGAGTATATGGTGGTATTTAGCACATATAAAGTTTTAGACTTAGGCTGCCTGTCTCAGAAGGATTATGCAAGGAAAAAAGGTCTCCTGCTGTATTACGGCCGTGATCCTATGTAGAATGTAATTTACGGTGGATAAATTCTGTTTTTGCTACTCCACTTCTGATGTATATTTTGTTTTGCTTTTTAGATTTGGGACTTTATGATGAAGCTTTGAAAGTAATCCACGACTTTCCACAGTTCTACCCGTTTTGAGGAATTTAACAATATTTGTTTCAAGATAACTGTACATTTTTGCTTTTCCTAGTAAAATATTTATAAACTTTACACGTGTGACCTTATACTAGACTAAAAGTTGTAACCAAAAAAATACAAGCACAACAGAGAACACGAGACCTGCTTGTGCAGCTGTTTAACATTCATTGCTGGGGAAAAACTAGGAAGTGTTTGGAAGTGTTCTATTTATTTTACACAATAAAAAGTGTAGAATTAAAGGTGCTCTCCAGTCTAGAATCCCACCCAGTTTTTAAAATTGTTATATACATTGTACAAATAAGGGATAGGCAAGCTTTTTAACACGGTTTCAAAACTCTTTGACGTCCCTTGGCATGCCTTTTTTTTTTTTTTTCTTCATGGAAGTTGATATTCTATTTGGATATAGGCTAGTATATTGTGTAAAATAAGTTGACTGTTCATTACATGTGGGCTGTTTGTGGCGGCCAGCTTCTTCTGCAACTCTAGCTGCTTGGGTGGCAGTATTACTGAAATTCGTAAATAAAGGACTGCCCTTCAGCACCTGCTGTACAGTTGGCACTGGGAGTTATCTGGAAAAAGTCCTACTTGAACCTCTGCTAGGGCAGCTCCAGAGGAGATCCTCAGCTTGCTTACCCCTGCTATAAATCATACCTTTAACACATGCAATCCAAAGTAAGATTAAAACCAATAATACAGATTTATTGCAGATGTAGGATGTTTACATTTTCTGTAGTTGGTAATATCCAGCTGAGTGGCATTGGCCTGTTGGGATGCTCTTCCCCCTGCCCCTCCCAAAAAAATTAAATCCTGCATATTAGTTTGAGAACTCTTACAGTGCACAACAGTATTGCATGTATGCAGTGATTTTTACATTGGAGTGAACAAGTTACACTACCTACCCACCATGAGTATGAGACTACCATTCACACTAAAGCTGGCTCATAAGCATAGTGCAAATATTAACTTAATTCCAAGTTATCCAAATGTTTTAGATGATCAATCGTTGCTTTTATAGCAGGTCTTTACCATTGTTAATTAAATGCAGCAAATATGGAAAATGTTACAGTGTACATAACTGCACCATATACCAATGTGAATTATTCCGCTCTCCCTTGTTGTATTATGTAAAATGTGTTATCTAATTCTCATTCTTCACATTTTCTGTTTCCATCAAAGATGGAAGAATAAAAAAAAATATAAACTTTCCATAGCCATGCAGCTATACTACCAACTCCTTACAGTCTAAACATTGACAAAAGGGACCATTTCTTCTGATGTCATTGCTAACAATAGTAAGAGTCCAAAGAAGAAATGATAAATCGGAACAATCAAGCTATTTTGATTGAACAGTGCCTTTTCTGACTTCAGTTATAAGTTGTCAATCATGTTGCCCCAATATCTTAGGGGATGTTTTGTGGCTATTTAAGCAGGTTTATATGGTTAAGGAACTTAGAATGACTCTAAAATCATGTGTCTCTTGGTATATGGTTTTATAAATGAAGGTGCGTTTGAATACATTTTGATTTAGAAGTTTATATTAGACTGTACAGATAGTTATCACTTGGTTCATCCCTGCTAGTCTGGTTAATTCAGTTCATTATAGCTAGAGTTTACCCATTTCACATGCATATACTGAACCAAATTTGAAAGCACTTGCAGCAAATAGCGGAGGGGATTAAAAACAAACGCTTTAACTTAGCTGGTGCATGCAGCAAGTGCTCAGGCTTTCGCTATGCACGGGATAATTGTTATTCACAGCAAAATTAGTTGAAAGGGCAGATTCACGTGAACACAAATGTATAAAAAGGTAAAAGAAATAGTAACTTTAATTTTCCCACCTCTGATACTCTTGCCCCTGAGGCTGTACTACAACCATTCAAGAATATACCATGTGTAGTGTTTGTCTAGAACATTGTCACTCAACTAAGTGCCCCCTGACACTTTGTCAGCAGTCTGGCTGTAAATATTATGGGAAATGTAGTCCACAACATCTGGAATGTTGACAGTTGCCTACCCCTGTTCTAGAAGAATAAACTGGAGTGATGTACTAGAGGAGCGTGGGGGCTTTCATTTAAGTATAATATAGGAACTATGCATGTTAAAAAGGAAACTTTATTCATATAACCTTGCACGTCTTATTTTGAAATGTACACATTTCAAATAACTTCAGTGCATTTCCTGATTTACCCTTGTGTTGTAGTAATACTTAATCTGACTTTATCAAAAACACAGAATATCTGACAAACACAGAATTTCCAAATGGCACTATGGCATGGTTACAGAACTTTGCATTGTACAAGCAGATACATCTGACTAAAGAAGAGTAAGAACATTCCGAACCATAGATAAAGGATAAGCAAGAATAAACATTTCTATATTCATTCCAAAACATGGGATATTATATACAATTGTTTTCAGGGAGGGTGTGCTCAAAAACCACTGTACATATTAGGAAGGACAGTGCATGCATGTTTTATAGAATGAAAATAGCCAATAAAGCACAGACAGACATTTAACAGCCTTTATTCTTGCCATTTTCATACGCCCTCCTCCCCCAGTGGGAGGGGATATTGTTACAATTGGCAACTTTATTAATTACTTAACTAGTTCCACCTCCTCAAATTACACACAAGGAGCCAAATTTTCTAAAAACCATCATTATTGGGCCAGATAGATATGTATAAATAGAAAGACAAACACCATAATGGTATAACGACATGGAAAACACACTTTGTATTCACTGGCCAAACAATTGACATGTTAAGCTTGTTTACTGTACCACTACACATATGACTCAAATGGGTATAGATATTTTTGAACTACATAGGTCATGTCTTTTGAAGCAATGTTTCAAGTACAAGCGTGCCATGGATGTGAGCCATGTGTAGATTCATATGGATATTATAAGCACCAACACCACTTTAGCTTAATGAAAATATTTTGGTGTATAGGTCATGTCCCTGCAGTCTCAAAGCTATGACTTTACAAGGTCTTTAAATTCTGCTGTTTATTGAACTTTAAATCGCACACACAAGGGTCTAGCAGGCTATTAAGAGCAGGAGACAAGTGTAAAAACTGCCATAAAAGGAAGTTTCAAAAAGAGCAGCGCAGTGTGAGTAGGGCTGGTACGTGGATTTAACCCCAAAATAGAACAGAGCAGTGAAACTGTAGGGTTATTACCGATACATCAAAAGCACTATATTAAGCTGAAGTTGTTTTGGTCCTTAGAGTCTTCTTTTAATCACATACTTCTTTTTAAGAGAAGTGGACAATATGTCTGAAAGAGCAAACTGTTCCACACTCTACTCATGCCGTCCTAACACTTTCAGAACAAGACATTTCAGCCACAGGTTTTATTAAAGTGTCCATTGTCAAAAATAAATAGTTAAATGAGATTTGGGTGGAGGATCTCCAATTTGGCTACAACTGACAACTAATATTTTTTTTCAATACATTCCACTTCACTGTCTAGTAAAGAAACTTTAATGCTCATCACATCCATAAATGGTGTGCACATGAGGACTGGTCCTTAACCCAGGTCAACTTAAAAGTGGGTTACATATTAAGGCACTGCTTAGAGAGGAGAGAGAAAAAAAAACAAAAAACCCACTAAAGCTGTAAAGGACAGCATAACAAAGCAGTTTCAGTGTACAGATCATGCCTCTGCAGTCTCACTGCTTAATTCTTCACCATTTAGATGTTCAAATCACTTTTGGTTTGGTTTATGGAACCATAGTCACACCTCCCCTGGCTGTGACTCACATTCATTCAGATGTTAATTTACTTTAGATGTTTGTATCTCCTGCTCGGTAAATTGAACTTGACACACAAGGCCCCTTGAAGGGTCTAGCAGGCCATTAGAGCAGGAAATAAGGCATTCTAGATTAAACAGACTGGGCAATACAGGAACCTAAAATATCTAGGTTCTTTTTCAGGAAGTGTTTAGAAAGGCTATGTAAGTCATGCAGGGAGGTGTGACTAGGGCTGTATAAATAAAGTGATGCAACTCCTAAATTGCAGAGAAGTTAGCAGTGAATCTGCATTGGAATGTTCTATATGCCAATAGCTGATTCCTTAAGCTAAACTTTTTTTGGTACTTAGTGTCTTTTTAAAGGACTACTCCAAGCACCTTAAAAGCTCCCGAGTGGCCAGTGAGATCCAGGTAAGTTATCAAACTGGTCTTAAACAGTTTATCCACTTACTCTGGTAGGGTGCCAGCGCACTCCTTAACCTCTACAGCGGCTGTAGTTGGTTATGGTGCTTGAAAAGTTCCCTTTAATCATCTAGGAATTGTTATATGGAAAAATAAAATCACAAGCTCTAGCGAACTAGATTGTAGTTAAAAATTTAACTTTTTTCCTAAAACTTAAGCATCCAAGCATTCTCCTGAACGTATGTTAATTTGAGTGAGTACAACTCACGTTTTCCTCCTTTACAAACAAAACCAATTCCATATAACCTTTTCACATGTGTTATACACATTGCATTTATCTGCATAACTTTACAAGTCATGGTTTAATCCAGATGTGGCCTGCATTTCTCCTCATATTTTCCCCAACATTAAGGGAGCTGTAGTCCAACATCTGGAGTGCTGATGGTTGCTTACCACTTGTTTAATGTATGAACTCCATAGTGTTCACACGTATGTAAACTGTTAAATGACAAAGTAATTGCAAATCCTGTGTAAAATAGCCAAGCTGTAAATGTTTGTTTGGATCCTTTGATTTAACCCCTTAATGACAACTTCTGGAATAAAAGGGAATCATGACAATATTTCCGTCATGTGTCCTTAAGGGGTTAAAGATTATATTTCCCTTGTCTGTTCGGTTTCCAGTTTAGTGAACAAAAAAACTATTTACCTCGCTATATATTCAGGTTCAGTGTATTTATGTGAGATGTGTAGAAAGGATATACAAGGCTAAAAACCTATCAATTCGCACTGAGAAAGTTGGCAAAAAAAAAACCCCATAGAATATCTGATCACAAGACGCAGAGTGCCAAACCGTTTTTTTTTTTTAGTGTACAAAATCTTAGCTTTCTTTCAGATTTGCAGTTTACAAGTTCAAGCAGATGAATGTTCGTTTTATGGATGGATTGTCTCTGCTGGGACCAAATTTCCAGTTGTGTCTAGCTGCATACATTTACAAGAGCATGCGGATACTGGGCACTCTGTATGGTCCCTGTAAAACAAATACCCAGAACAAAAGTATTTCATTTTGATTAAACTATATTACAAAAGATAAAGACATTTTAACAGAAACTTCAACCAACTTTTTAATTTTATTTCTACCCTCCCAAGGTCTGTCAGCAATTCTTAATTTTACAAAAACTACTTGGCCATATTTACACGCAGAAACATATTACAACATCATAGGTACTAAGAGGTTAAGCCAGGCTGGAGATTTACATATTCGTGTTGGTAATGCATTAACAAATGAAACCTTTCTGCAAATACCAAGCTTGGCAGTGCGTTCTACACAGACCAGGAAGTAACAGACAATTGTGATGCTTTTAACATTCTGCACAAAAAAAAAACCAAAAACCCTTCTCTTTAGAAAGCAAGAAGAGGGTATGTATTTGATTTTTTTTTTTGCTGGCCTTAAAGGCAAGTAGCAATTAGACAAAAAAAAAAAAAAGGGTTAATGTGTGGTTTTGTTTCTTTATCCTTTTTCATAAGGTGCTGCTATTATTAAGGCTGCACATACATATCCCATCAGATTTATATTCATATTCTATTGAAACCCTCTGCATTTCTTATCCAATTTTATTATAATGTAGAAATGTAACACCTGTTACACCCCACCCCCCCCATGGTGTGTGCTGCCTTGCTAATGTGCACATCTTGGACCCTTCATGCCTACATAGGTGTAAAAATTCCAACACCAACATTCATAATTACAATTCTCAATGGTAGAATTGGGGTATACTGACAGCTGGACTTGGAAGTGGACTAGATTAGAGCCTCGTGAAAGGCGTTTTATCACACTAGGCCGACTAGGACATCACCTTGAGTTCTCAACTGAACATGCACGCCAAAGTTAATGAGTGTGTCATCTAATTGATACTTGGCCTTTGATTTCTTGTTTAATTTTGGCATGATGCAAACATAGGAATAGAGTCAGGCATGTTTAATTTTATATGTAGGCAATAAAAACCAAGTTTCCAACTTTAAATGAGAACTAAAACTGGAATAAAGCTTCTAATAAAGAACAGAACACACGTTACAAATTATGTAATACAGATAAGTTTTTTCCCCCCAAATATAATTAAACAAATATTACCTGAAAACCACTAGGTTACTCTTATTAATGCTAATTTTATAACACCCCACCCCCTCAAAACAAATTTTAAAAAATCATCATTGTTACCTGAACCAGCTAAGCATGTGTCCAGCATGACCACCATGTCGGCAGTTGTGACACCATGTAAACCAGTTGTTAAACTGTGCCACTTTCTTCTCTTTGCTGAGGTCCACTTTCTCATCAGATTTTGAGGTTCCTTAAAATATAAATTAATTTTGTAAACAAATGTTTTTCTTTTTGGAGTTATTAGTTTAAACACTGTTGAATCAGAAATAGCAGAACTAGAATAAATTGAGGAGGGCAGGGGAAACAACTTATGCATCTAGGTTCTTACTCGTGTTATGTATATATTCAAATAAACTATGCTGAAAAAACACTGCAATTTTAAACCCAAAATAATTTTGGCATACCAGAGATGTCTAAAAGAAAGTGCTGCAGTCCTTTAAATGTAGTGGTAGCGTAATTGCAGTAAGTTTAAAATGCCCTTGCACAGCAGCATATAGAATCCCTTCTAGGGTTGAATTAAGGCTTCAGATTTGGGGAAAAGGTATATGTGGGGTATCATTGTACTCAAGCTATGCATTTGCAGTAATGGAACGCACATGGTCTGTGAATTTCCCCACAATGAAACCTGTGGGAACCCTCCCACCCCCACCCAGCCTGCATACTTTATGTCCTTGCCACAAATATATACTTTTGAGTAGCGGGTTTGGATTTTGTGTTTACTATTAAAGTTGCAATCTTGGTTTTAAACCGTAATTCACTTCTTGCAGTATTTGTTTTTGAACTTTTAAAAAAATAATTGAAATCCAAGGCACATTGGGCATTTTAACAAATCAAGACTAATTGGTGAATCTATTTAAGTTTTCCCATCACGGAAATTTCGGATTATAATTCCACCATTGGTAAATTAGTTACCAGGACTACTAGAGATAGGATTTCCCATATTGATGAGACAGAGAGCACAGCGAGGAAGAGGCTTGCGGCACCCTGGACAACTGGTAAACTTTGACTTGGTAGGGGATCCACTGACTCCATACTGGCTGAATCCACGGCCTTGATGAGGTACTGATGAACAACTGTACGAGATTGACTTTCCACAGAAGTTGCAGCTCACGAATACCTTAACATAGAAATGACCTTTAGTGGTAGAATCATTTAACTGCTGGTTAAAACAGAAAAATTTGATACTGACCTGTGCAAGCGGCTTAGAGCTGGGGTCGAGTTTACTACGGTGAATATCAAACTCTGCTCTCTTGTGCCAAAACCTCCAAGCATCAAGAAGATTTCTGTAGCTCTCTATCCAATACTGAACTCTCTCATCCTTCAGAACATCTGATGGAGAACCCTTTAAAAAAAAAAAAAAAAAAAACAGCAAACCATCTTACTACAGGTGCTTTAGTTTTATAAAAATCAATATAATTCCAGAGCACACAATTCTGCAGCACAGACCAACATGTTGCAGTGAAAATTATAAAAAAAATTGTTGGGGGAGGAGGGTGTTATGGGCAAATGCAAATATTACAAGTTTTAGAATGAAATGTTGTATTTCTTAAACTGTGTACTTTGTCTTTAAGAGATTTTGCAAACTGACAAGGTGTTAGAAATGGAACATATTGTTTTTCATAACTGTTTCTTTAAGCAATAACCTCAGTGCATAATATGTTTGCGCCATTTTGTCCCAGACGAATTACAATAACAATAATGCATAAACAAGCTTCAAGGCTATCTACGACACTTGCAGTACACAATATACTGTGGTAACCCCAAGTTAATGGAACTTCCCCAAATCCAGGAATCTCCCACGACTGTACACTTACGACTTAGTATAAACAACAGATAACCTATTCAGACTTTAAGATGCCATCTTGAACTAAGTCAGGAAAATTTCCATGACGTATGCACCCTTTAGTTATGGCCTTGTATGTTTGCCAAATTAAGGGAGGTCCTAAATTGAATAAAGTAAAAGAAGTGTTACTTTTTCATATTTGAACTACAGTAACCTAAAATGGAGACACCTAAGGTATAAATAGGTGTACTTTTAAATGTTAAGAAACAGAGGAGAGACTTGGAGAAAGACGCTGCTCCATCTTAAAATGACAGAGAGGCTGACATGATGACATGTTCAGAAGGGTATGTTAACCTATTAATGATATTTGCAAGCATGTAATTTAATCTATAAACTCTGCTATAATGGATTTTATATAATAAATATCCAAAAGACAATCTTGCTTCCAAGACAATCCTTATTTTATATTGTATTCTCAATTATTTATATATGTTAAATAGAGGATCTCTTACACTATATAAAATTATGGCTAAGTTATCTGTATGGTTAGCCCTACTAAGTTCTATGCTTTAAGACATTATAGTGGTAAATAAGGGAACCACCAGCGGTTACAAGGGGAGAAATTATATGAAAAAAAATCAGAAAGAAAAACCCACAACCATACATGTTGCATGGGAAGAGTGTATGTACATGAAGCCTATGGAAAGCACTTGAATGGTTATTCACTACACAGAGAATTGTCAGGATGTCAGTAAGAAACTGCAAGTTTAGGCCATAAAAAAAGGGCTCTAATCAAGCTAAAAAGTTTCCAGCTCAGAAATGTAGGCATTATATTTGCAATTACACAATGGATTCGAGAATTTACAGTTTTGTGAACAACTCTGCAGGTCTAGGGGTAAACAGAGGATGAATGATGTCAGTTCTGTAAAGTAAGAATTGCTGTAGATTGCTGTGATTCAAACCATACGAAGTAGACATCTCCAAAACCCAGATAAAACACCACAGGCAGAATAGATAGGATTCCAAATCAAGTAGCAAAACAAACCTGTAACATACAATAACTGGCAGTCTGAACATCACCAGTCCTATCCACGTAACATTCCATCAGATCAACGCCATCTTTGGTCAGGCCCGTAAGCAAAATCCCCTCAAGATTTCCGGATTCCTTCATTTCATTGGTTAGTTTTTCAAGGTATCTGTTGAGCTACAAATATTTAAAGACAATTCAAAATGTAGATTTAAGGAGGTCATTACAAAAATTGTGATTGCATCAGATATAATACATAGAACACAAAGGATCTATTAAGCATTTCTCAAATTAAGGTTAAAATACCCTATAAAAAAAACAAAAACCCTCAAACAATACTGGCAGCATCATAAACAGATCACCATTAAAATATCAAGAATATTTCAAGTGTGCATACAGCACCTCTCTGTTAGATGCCAGAGACATCACAGCTAAATTTCATCAACCCTGAAGAGCAGCTGAGGTAAAGCAGTAATGTATTATTCATCATGATCAATACTTAAATTGTGTTTATTGTGGTGAAAGAACAAGGATAAGTCACTTCCTCTTTAAGGGTTACGCTACACACTAAGCTAGCTGAAGTGGCTGTAGAGCACAGACCTATTCAGTGCAAAATTTTAGCATGAAACAGGATCATTTCAAAAACATTTGGAATTTTTAACCAGGGTGTAGCTTCACCTTTGATTCCTATTCGGCAACTTAAAACTATTTCCAGTCTGGCTATATATCACATTTTATCCAAGTATTGCGTGCAGATAAAAACACACCCAAAATCCCATCAAGATTAGTTCTCTTCTTTTAAAGTTAATCAGTCTACGTGTAAAGCTGACCTCAGTTGTGGTGTGGCTGCTGCCAGTTTATCTCCCAAGAGCAGTTCCACTCATCATGTAATATAAGTGGAACAGTTATGTAAACAACTTATCCAATAAACATCTGCTCTGGATGGGCTTAAGGGATATGACTCTCTACCTGGTGTAGGAGAGATCTGTCTGTAGGTGAATCCACTAAACAGTGCATTGAGGGAACATTTAAAGATTATAATTTTTTGTGTGCATACAATACACGGTCTATTTTACCCAATTGTTTCCCTTTAATCTTACCTGTGTATCATTAAGGAACAAGCAAGCAAACGCCACCCGATCCCTCACTGCCATAGTATTCTCATACTTAAAGAGGGGGGAAAAAAAACAAACAAATAAATGCAAGCAGAAGGCAAGATTGAGTAGCTCATTTACAAATGAATAGTAAAAAAAAAAAATAAAAAAAAAAACAATTATAATTAAAGAAAAACACAACTTGCCAAAACTCCATCATAGTTGCCTGGTTCGCTTGTGAGAAAAGCAAACATAACACAGAGGTAAGGGTTGTTGAGCTGTAATCTGAGAGTACTGCACATTTCTCTCCACAAGGAGTTCTTCTCATCGGTATAGCCAGATAATGCCATTGCTACAACATTTAGGTTCAGGTCTGCTGTGAAGAAAAATTTAAAAACTGTTCTATAATATAAAAATGGCTAATATCTTCAATCTAAACAAGCTATAGTAAAATAGTAAATTTAGCTGCAATAACTTTGTGACATTTTGAAAGCCAAGGTAGACATCTGACAAGAACATTAAAAACAGCTCATACACTAGGCGAGAGCAAACCCCACACATAATGGATACTACCACTTTAAATCTTGAGAGTAGTGGATATTTTCACTTATAGTCTGTAATATAAACTTACACCATAGTGTAGTTTGTACATTATAAATAATAGATAAGACCAAACTGGTCAAATTCACATATTATTAAGGAGTTCAAGAGGAAACCCTTATTGGGAGCAGAGATCCAGAGGTTATTACCTGTAAGGAGCGCTGGCAGTCTGAGCCTGCTAACCAATAGACTCAGCAAAATGTGAGTTTGACCAGTTTGGCCTTATTATTTATACTGTACATATTACACTATGGTCCATGTTCTATGTTTATATTACAGACTATAAGTGAAATTATCCACTACGGTCAAGATTTAAAGTGGTAGTATCCACTGCGTGTGGTGCTTGCTCTCACCTATTGTAGGAGTGGGTTTAAAGGAGCACTATAGGGCCAGAAATATAGATTTGTGTTCCTGACCCTATAGTGTTAAAACCACCATCTAGCTCCCCTGGCCCTCTCTTGCCTCCCTAAATATAGTACAATCTTACTTTTATTCGAGCCTGTAGCGGCTGGCTCTGCCCCTGTCTGCCTCAGACATGCAAGCTGTCTGTGGACATCATCAGAAGTGTTATTCTGAGCCAATCACAATGCTTCCCCGTAGGATTGGCAGAGACTGTGAAGGAGGCAGATTAGGAGCAGAGCCAACACAGCCCTGTCCAATCAGCATCTCCTCATAGAGATGAACTGAATCAATGGATCTCTATGAGGAAAGTTCAGTGTCTGCATGCAGAGGGTGGAGACACTGATATGTTGTGATGCACACTAGGCAAGACAGCTTAAGGAAGCAGCTCTAGCAGCCAACTGAGGAGTGGCCAGTGAAGTTATCACTAGGCTGTAATGTAAACACTGTATTTTCTCTAAAAAGACAGTGTTTACAGCAAAAAGCCTGAGGGGAATAATGCTACTCACCAGAACAAATTCAATAAGCTGTAGTCGTTCGTGCCTATAGTGTCCCTTTAATGTCGAAGTGTGTTTATTTTGAGTGACTAAACACTGGTGATAGAAGCTACACCGATTGTATTAACAGCACTTTATTCCTGCACATTTTTTAAGTGACAAGAACATGGTTACACCACACATCCAAATTCAGTTTTGTTTTGTTTTTCCCCCTTTACGGTCTGTAATAATATTTACAGTGGAACAAAATAAATAAAAAAAATCCATGTACCTTTTCCTGTGGATGCTCCCTTATTCAAGATCTGTATTGCACGGCGAATATCTAAATTAAACAGTGCAATAGCAGCTGCTCTCTCCCATTCTCCATCCAGTTCCAGAGTGTTCAAAAATGGTTCCATGTCGGGATCATTTCCTTTCTTCCTCCAACCACAAAGCTGCAGAGCCAAGCATCTCTCCTCACTGGAATAGTGTATCACTTCAGCTTGTTTATCCGAGCCACTCCAGCTGTGTTTGAAACTCTCTGAGGTTCCTTAAAGAAAAAAAACTTCTATTTTAGAAAATAAGTCACATTTCAAGGACTGTGCAATTTCTCTCTCTCACACACAAAATACCTAAATTTCCGCACATCATGCATTTAATCTTACTGTGCTCGTTTAAAGGGTTACGCTAACCACCATGGCCACATCTCCTTTCAGAAGTAATCAGAGGTTGGTATCTGTATGTGCTTGATTTTCTGCCCTTGCAGAGAAAAGGGCATTTTTGTGCTGGGTGGGCTAGTTGCATGACTGGCACATGTGACTTCGGCTGCCTAATGTTAATTCTGTGCAAAAATTGGCTCCCTTTCAGTGTGCCTGCAATGGGAAGCATATATGTCCCCTCCCTCTTTCATTTGAGCCTTCCACTCCTCCCCATAAGGCTTTAAATTATTAAATATTCCATTGCTTCTGTTCACCCTAACAACCACCTCCTGTCCCCAGCCCAGAACAACCGCAGCGCGCTGAGCAGGTAAAAAAAAGGTCCAAATAAAATTTAAATATAAACCTAACTTGACCTATACGCTATACAGATGAAAATACCATTACCTTTATTTCCCATCCCCGATATCCCAAGTAACCCTTTGCTGTAAAAATGCACTAGTAGGGCCCTCACCTATTGCATCTTATTTTCATACATAGCTTTGAAAATAAAAAAGTTTTTTTGATTTGAACTGGATTTCTTAGAATCCATCTGAAACACTGACTTTGTAGCTTACAACGACCATTAGATGAAGATTAAAGGTTAAAGCTACCGCTATAGCAAAGATTCCTTCAATTGAACTCCCACTGTGTTGGCCTCTTGATGTACACGTGCAGAGAAAATTATTTAAATAGCAAAAATAAGGGATCAAGGGATTAAGCAAATAGTTTATTATACAACATGCTCGGAAAGCAGTAGTATTCTCGTAACAAATACCTGACGAACAGTTTCAATTATCTCACCTACGGATGACTTTGTGATTGCCTTAATACCGGCATAAACCAATGCTGCTTTGTTGGTTGAAGCTTTCTGGTCTAAATCTTCAGCATACTGCTTCATAAGTACAGAAGTGTATAGGAAATAAGACACAGATATGCATGATATGTATGCACATAAAACAAATGTTCCTTGCGAGAAGGAAGAAAATTAAAAGAATATCACGTTACATTTACGAGGAAATGCTTTAAAAAAAATTATTTAAAAAATGTAAGTGTTTGACATTTCAAGAATAATACATGCACACAGTAGATACATTGTTAGACAGATTTGCACACACCAGTCAAGCCATAAAGACTTATCTCCCCCCCCCTCCCCCCATAGTGCTGTTACTACTTCTTGGTGGGCACATGCAAAGGAGTTAAGTAATAGCACTGCAAATGTGGGATTTCTGTGGGGGGGGAGGGGGGAGGAAACAAGTCTTATGGCATGACTGGTGCGCACAGATCTGTGTCTAACTATGTATTTACTATCCACTGACTTCAGGTGGAAGGTGTTTTCAATCACTTGTTTTGGTGTACAGATTGCGTCAGTTTTATCCCCCATACAATGTAAAACAATCATATCTTTGTCAAATCAAATGTCTTCACATTCAACATTATACACAGTAGGACAACATCAAACTCGTTCAGTTTATCTCATAGCACATCAGACTGGCTGAATGGAGCCATTGCCCCTCATGCATTCCGTGTCCCCAATACTGCTTTCTAATTACATTGGACAGAGTCATGAGGATCTCACTAAAGCGAGGAGACTGTCCCAATGATGGACAAGCAAGTGTAAGAGAATCTATAATATATATATATATATACACACACACACACACACACACACCCACACAAAAAAATTTACCTTATAATTTAAAAAGAGGGAGGGCAGTAATACATTGTAATAAAAATAATAGATTCTACAATATTTGCATTTTTATGTATTTTGTATGTGGGCATTATATGCTATGGAAGCATATTTTCCACAATTTATTTTGTATTGTTATATACCTCCCTAACCCCAAAAATAATTCTCAGCAATTCATAAGACACAAGATTTTTTTTTTACGATAGTCATTTTCAGAATGAACTTTGGTTTAGTAAACAGAACAGTGTTATCTTAATCTTTTCACAAAACCTTATATTTGTTGACCGTCCAGGTATGTCATGCAATAAAGAGGTTAACTTGTTTGCACATATGGACATTCCAAAGGGCACACAAAAGGGCCATTGTTACTGGCATAAAACTTACTGCAGAAGGTTATTCACTGTGGATTCCCTAGGACCTCATCTAAGTAAAACGGTCAAGGCCCTAGAATTTGTAATACCCAAGAAACTCACTATTGATTTGACTCTTATATAGTGATGTCCCAAACGGTTCGCCGCGGATTCATCATTGAGTAAACTTTGACCCTGTACCTCACAGTCAGCAGACACATTCCAGCCAATCAGCAGCAGACCCTCCCACCTCCTGGACAGCTCATTAAGAATGCAGCTTCACAATGAATGTAAAAAGGATGCTGTCCAGGAGGTGGGAGGAAGGGACTGCTGCCGATTGGCTGGAATGTGTCTGCTGACTGTGAGGTACAGGGTCAAAGTTTACTCAATGATGAGTCCGCGGCGAACCGTTCGGCACATCACTACTCTTATAGCTTTCCGTCAAACCGAGTTTGTGAATAGTCTCCCAGTGATGTCAAGAGGGATGCCTCAAGGAGACAGTGAAAGTGTAATAAACGAATGATCAAGTACTGGGTTACATCAGGGAGTGCTTGAGGCACAGAGTATTCGTTTTAGTTCAAAGGCAAGTTAGAATGTGGTGTTTAATATATAATCCCACAAATTAATTAAAGGACCACTAAAGTGCCAGGAAAACAAACTTGTTTTCCTTGCACTATAGGGTCTTTAGGTTCCCCCACCCTCAGGGTCCCACTCCTGCTGGGTTCAAGGGGGCTGACTGGGTTAAACACTTACCTTCCTCCAGTGCCGGGGAACTCTCCTCCTGACGTCAGAGCTGAATGCACATGCGCGGCAAGAGCCGCGTGCTCATTTAGACAGTCCACAGGAAAGCATTTCTCAATGCTTTCCTATGGACGTCCAGCATCTTCTCACTGTGATTTTCACAGTGAGAAGCACAGAAGCATCTCTAGCGGCTGTCACTAGAGGCTGGATTAACCCTTCAATGTAAACATAGCAGTTTCTCTAAAACTGCTATGTTTACAGCTGCAGGGTTAAAACCTGGGGGACCTGGCACCCAGACCACTTCATTGAGCTGAAGTGGTCTGGGTGCCTATAGTGGTCCTTCAATTTCTTAACAAGGTGAGTTCCTAAAATAACCCTATATGTATGGCTTCTATTGCCCTGCCATACAATATACAAATCTAAACACTTTGTCAACCAGTCATCCAAAAATCGGGTGAAAGTGAAAAGTTCTGCTTCAGGTACACCACTAGTGTGCGCATACATCAAAAGAAATGCCATTAAAAAGGCATACTTAAATGAACGTTGCACCCCACCCAGCAACATGGAGTGCTCACACAGACATTGCCTTTGCATGTAAGGTGGCTCATCCAAACCAAATTCCACGATTAACAATGTGCAGGTGCACACTAGTAATTGTGGGATATCCATCTTTGAGCAGGACGGCAATACATGCAGCCACTCATGGAAGTTCTAGAAGTAGTTCACTTTCTACAGTAGAAAGCAGACAATTTAAGTCCAATTTCAGAAACCCTAAAATATATCGTTTTTAATGAAATAAAAATAGAAAATAAAAAAATAATATATATAGGAAGAAGGAGCCTGAATTTGTCAGAGGGATTACCCGGCCTATAAGCATACAGGCCATCTCTTTCACTAGGCAGATACCTCCTGGTTCATCCCACCCACCACTCATTCTCAAGTTATTAATTTTGGTAGGCCCTCTTTACTTATAGGCCTTCCCGAACATCAGTTTCAGCACACCACAACTGACTTATACCATCATGAATGCCATTACTTTGCTTATTGAATACAATATCTAGATCTATATCCAGCATGAACATAGCAAAAACCTGATTGGCAAAAATTTTATTTTTAAACAATCCAGTGGAAAGGATATAATGCAGGGTGTACCAAAGGGATTTTAGCTGAAGGTCTTCATTTCCTGCCAGAAGGTGGTTTCTCCAGACCTGCTCAGTATCGAGGCCATACCGGGATAAAGCTCTGAGTCTCATTTTAGTAGCGATATCTCTATCCGAAGAGGTAGATTTCCCTTCCTCTGTGCATTCATACAGCTGCCTACTGCAAGCCCACATTAATGAAGTTGTGGGACTCCAAGCTAAAGAAATCCTTTCAAACACAGTGAAGTCTGACATTGCTCTGTTAGGAGTTACTACTACCATTCGGTTTTGACTTGTTGGATGCCAAGCAAACGATGCTATATAGTTATCACATGGTTGGACACTTCTTTCGATGATCGTGGGTTCCGTTTCATCACCAATGGGTGTGGGAGTGTGCTGCATATCATAAAGTCTAATTATATTACTGTCTCTGGTTAAGGTAGCAAGTAATCCAGTCCTTGTTGGGCACCAGGCTACTTTTGTCAAAGGTTTTGGTTGCTCTGTCAATGTCAAAACTGGCTTTTCAAATTTCCGTAGGTCCCAGATGACAACTTGCCCCTCAAAAAATGAAGCAACTCTGTCTTGGAAATGTGGATCCACAGTTACCCCTTGGACAGCTTTTGTATTTACAAACATTTTTTGATTTGTATTTCTCAGATCAAATATAGCTAGGTTACGATGCATCCCTGCTAAGAGCAGCTTTTGGTCTCTTGGAAGCCAACAAAGAGAAAGACAGGCATCGTTTTGGCCCAAGTCATACAGAGACTTTGTCACTACCCCCAAAGTTTCACTCTCCCCAGTTGAAAGTCTAACTTTTTCCATTGAAGTTGTTACATCTGGAGTGTATTTGCTACTTATATCCCATATCAAAACTGAAAAATCAGCCCGGTGTTTATCTAATCCAGCTGCTAGCCAATTACTGTCGAGGGGATTCCAAGCCAGGGTGTTGCATTGACGTGCATGCTTTGGGACAAATTCCTTTCCAATTAAATCTTTACATTTAGAATTGTGATCCTGGCCCAGACTAGTTAAGACAATTCTGCCATTGGCCTGTCCGACCGCTAGAAGGCATTCAGGGTCATACTTTGGATACCAAGCAACACATTTCATGTAAGGTGCTTCAGAATTTATTGCCAACAATGTGGCAGTGGTCTCTTCAGAAAGCCGTAGAGAGCCTGCTTTCAGTTCAGAGCTGGAGCTGGCTGCTGACTCTATGTGGTAGAGGCTGAGCTCAGAATCACACACAACAAACCTGTCCACATGATGGGGTGCCCAAAGAATATCAGGCTTGCATCCACTCATTTTTCCAACTCAGGGAAGTTGATCAATTTCAGATTATTTCCACCAACGATTCTGAAATGAAACACAAAGTAGTGTTAACTAATTAAACTTGTACAAGCATATCAAAGCAGGAAACACACATGACCATCTCAAATAACATTCTATACACGCCAGGAAGGGGTTTCAACGGTCAGGAAAATATAATTGATACAGATCTTATTTCGTAAAGAGTTAGAAAATATTCTATAGCACCAATTCTACTTACCAGATATGATAAGTGGAACTACAGAATTGTTTAAAATATATGTGGCAGGTAAAAAGATACAGTGGGTAGGAAATCACGGACGTGTCCGCCTCGCACCACACCTTATGCCATAAGCATAGGTACTTGATGTATCTATTCAACAGCTTACTGGAGCATAATTTAATAGGTCCACCACAAATCCACATCAGATGGGTATAGAAATTTAAAGGAACACAGAGCACCAACAAAACTGAAGCAAATATAAAATCATTGAGAACCAAGTCGCTGTCTTGACTCTGCACCAACAACCAATCCCTCTTTTTATCTGTATTGCATTTCAAAGCAGAGCCAAGAGGAAACAGTACAGATAATAAGGGGGCAGTGATTGCCTAAAGAGCAGAGTAATCTCAGCTCCAGCATAGGTTCACAAAAATACATGCAATAAAGAAGTTGCTTTGTGAAAACAGGAAGCATGAGTAAAGGTACAAGTATATGCTGCATTATCTTTTTCCAAAATTAATTAAATCTGAAGAAAAAACAAAAAACAAAAGAACCCCCCCCCCCCCAAACAGCAAATATATTAGGCCAATATAATAAAATAATAATAATAATAATACAAAGTATTTAACCAGGAAAGGTACATTCAGATTACTCTGGTTTTCAAGTACATCTTGGGGATGTTACCTTAGCCCAACATCCATCTATTAAATGCACTTAAAAGGAACACTCAGCACTATAACTTCATTGAATTTAAGTCGCTATGATAGTAGGAGGTTGCTAGCGCCAGCCAACCTTTAGGGGTTAAACTGTTCAGACCGTTTAACCCCAAAGTTCAGTGTTCAGCACCACTCTGTCCACAGTCCTTCCGCAAAAGAGGCACCACTGATTGGCTGAAAGTGCCAGCTCCCCATTCACGAAACGGCTTGAGGAAAAATACATATGTTTCACAAGCTGTTTTGTGAATGAAAAGCTACTGATTGGCTTAGAGTGTGTAGAATACATATTATACACACACACAAAATAACATTTTTAGGGATGTGGACTTTGGAGCGAGTACAATCATGAGTATATTTATTAATGGAGAAATAATATCTTCAGGGAACATTTCTAGTATAGGTAAAAGGTGAGGATTAGAGTTTGTTTTAAAAGTAATTCTGAGTGGTCAAACAGGACTTGAATGGGTTGACCAGCAATAAGTAATTCACATGCACCCAATACGAAACAAATTCGATTTCATTAATCTCATCTGTTGCTTTTTGGATCATGACTACGATTAACAAAATGAAATATGAAATGCATCTGAATTCTACCTACTGCCAGTCAGCACTTTCAGGCCCTTCCAGACAGAATGAGGAATTCATAAAGTCTACAAAAACAGATGCAGAAGTACTCACCCCTCCCCCATGTCAGGCAGCTCAGGAAAAAAGGTGTCCACAACAACACTGCTGTTTATTTCATATATATATATATATATATATATATATATATATATATATATATATATATATATATACACACACACACACACACACACTTAACATACAGTTCCCCACTTTAAATTATTTCTTCACACAATAGGCAATATTGCAGGGCAATAAATTTCAACAAAGTCCAAAAAAGCATATATTCTACATAAAAAAAAAAAAAAAAAAAGTGTCCCTAAGGTCAAACTGACAAAAACAATAATTTTGCATTAAATCTGTATTTAGATTTTTTATTTTTTTAACCCCTTAAGGACCAAACTTCTGGAATAAAAGGGGATCATGACATGTCACACATGTCATGTGTCCTTAAGGGGTTAAAAGTACAATAATACTAAGAGAAGCTTTTAAAGTGGTGGTAAGGGGTGTCTGTCTGTGTCTGACAAACTTTGCTGTAGTACATGAATGCTGCATACACGTGTATGAGGGTATAGAGGGGTATCATGGGTTCTATAGATACACATTGCTAACACCCAGATTAACCCCTTAGAGCCCAGTCACTGACATGTCCCAGAGCAGCAGGGTGCCATGTGTGTTACCTTGGCTGTGTGATGGCGGATGCCCCCCTAAGCCAACAGCGGACCCCCACTCAGCAGCTTTTAAAGCAGGCCCCACCCTGGTCGGACTCATTGGGTGTCAGCCTCCGGGCACGAGAGGGTTAACGCAAATCCCGCAACACTGAGCGACAACAAGCGTCCGCCAGAGCAGCGGCACGCGGTGATGACGTCAGGGCAAAGGGGGGGGCGTGGTTTTTGTCCAGTGTGGCTCTGAGCTACCAGGTAGGTTCATGACCGCTTAGTGGGGAGGGGCGGGGCGGGGGGTGTGGCTGAAGCTCAGGTGGACCCGCCCCACTGCTGGCACGGTGTTACAACAGCCATAATGGAGTCTGGCAAAAGCATCATGGGAGTTGTAGCTGTTCGGTTGTAAGCTCGTTTGGGCAGGACCCTCTTCAGCTAACTGTGTCAGTATTTCATGTTTTGATGGAATATGTTCTGCCCTGCACAATATGTTTGCGCCGTGTAATAGCGTAAGGCGCTGCGGAGTAAGTTGGTGCTATATAAATACACCCAATATAATAATATTAACCCCTTAAGGACACAACTTCTGGAATGAAAGGGAATCATGCCGGAATATTTCCGTCATGTGTCCTTAACCCCTTCAGGACGGGTGACGGACGAGGTCCGTCACACAGGGGAGACCCTTAACGACGGGTGACGGACCTCGTCCGTCACGTGGTAAAATTAACCCCGGATCGCCGCTATCGCGGCGATCGCGGGGTTAATGGTGCTCCCGGTATGCCTCTGCATTGGAGGCATACCGGGAGCACCCGGTCAGTCTGCCCAGCACATGTGCTCGCTCTGACCACAAGTCTGAGCGAGCACATGTGCTCTCTATACTCACCTACCGGCTCCCTGCACTTCCGGGTTCTGTGTGAAGTGCAGGGAGCCGGATCAGTGCTGATCCTGCCCCCTGCTGTAAAAAAAAATAAAGTTTATTTAAAGTCCCCCCCCCTTACCCATTTTAATAAAAAATTAACCCCTTCCCTGCCAATTGATCACTGACTACAGTGATCAATTGGCAGGGATTACATTTTACTATGATCTGATTTTTTTTTAACCCCTGAGGGTTAATTTTTTTTTTTTTAACCCTCAGGGGTTAAATTAATTAAATTAATTAATTAAATTATTTTTAATTATATATTTAGCTAGCTGGGGTAGGTGGAAGTTAGTGGGGAATTGGGGGATTTGGCGTTAGGCTAACTAGGGGTTAACGTTAAAAAAAGTTTTAAAAGAAACTTTAAAAAGTTAAAAATTAAGCTTAAAAAAATGTTTTAATAACATTTAAGTAAAAAAAACAAAAAAAACACACTTTACCTAGTCCAAATAAAAATTAACCCCTTCCCTGCCAGTCGATCACTGCCTACAGTGATCAAATAGAGATCACAGTATTATACTGTGATCTAATTTTTTTTAACCCCTGAGGATTAACTTTTATTTATTTTTTTAACCCTCAGGGGTTCAATTTATTTAATTAATTAATTTAAATATTTTATAACTATATATTTTGCTAGCTGGGGTGGGTGGGAGTTATGGGAAAATGGGGAATTTACTGTTACTGCTGCGTACTGCTAGTTAGGGGTTAACGGTAAAAAAAAAGCTTAGAAAAATTTTAAATCTGTAAAAAAGTTTTAAGAAAGTTTAGGAAAGTTTACAAAAAATTTATAAGCAAAACAAAAGTTTAAAAACTAGTTTTTAAAAGTAAAAAAGTTATAAAAAGTAAAAAAATACATTTTAAAAACGCTCATTACCACTACACCTGGAGCAAACTAGAGAAAAAATTATCCCACGCCAAGGTTCAAAATATGCCTTTTGAATTACCCCAGGGTGTATTCTTTAATAAATAGTATGTGTTTGTGGGGAAGTTTCAATAACCAACCGTCTAAACTACTCCAAATTGGAACATGGACACAGCGTAAAACTTCAAAGTTAGAAAAAAACTGAATGGCTGCGTCTCAAATGCGCCCCTTCAACATCCACATATACCTGGCAAAGGTACATACGGGGTATTGCTGTACTCAGCCGACATAGCTGAGCAACATATGAAGTATTATACAGTCATAGCACACATAAGGTTTGCAAAATATGCTGCGCAAACTCACTTTGTATGTCAAAAAGGCAGAAAAAATGCTTATTACCACTACACTTGGTACAAGCTAGCGGAAAAATGATCCCACGCTAAGGTTCAAAATATGCCTTTTGAAATACCCTGGGATGTCTTCTTTAAGAAATGGTATGGCTTTATGGGGAATTTGGATTATATAGCCTGGTAAAATACTCTAAAATGGGACATAGGCACAGCATAAAAATTCAAAGTTTGAAAAAAACTGGAATGGCTGTGTCCCAAATGTGCCCCTCCGATGTCCACACATACCTGGCAAAGGTACATACGGGGGTATTGCTGTACTCAGCCGACATAGCTGAGCAACATATGAAGTATTATACAGTCGTAGCACACATAAGGTTTGCAAAATATACTGTGCAAACTCACTTTGTATGTCAAAAAGGCAGAAAAATGCTTATTACCACTACACTTGGTACAAGCTAGCGGAAAAATGATCCCACGCTAAGGTTCAAAATATGCCTTTTTGAAATACCCTGGGATGTCTTCTTTAAGAAATGGTATGGCTTTATGGGGAATTTGGATTATATAGCCTGGTAAAATACTCTAAAATGGGACATAGGCACAGCATAAAAATTCAAAGTTTGAAAAAAACTGGAATGGCTGTGTCCCAAATGTGCCCCTCCGATGTCCACACATACCTGGCAAAGGTACATACGGGGGTATTGCTGTACTCAGCCGACATAGCTGAGCAACATATGAAGTATTATACAGTCGTAGCACACATAAGGTTTGCAAAATATACTGTGCAAACTCACTTTGTATGTCAAAAAGGCAGAAAAAACGCTTATTACCACTACATCTGGTACAAGCTAGCGGAAAAATGATCCCACGCTAAGGTTCAAACTATACCTTTTGAAACACCCTGGGGTGTCTACTTTAAGAAATGGTAGGCCTTTGTGGGGTAGTTTGAATTTAAAACCTGCGAAGATGCTTGGAAATTGCACATAGGCCCAGCGTCAAAATTCAAAGTTTGGTAAAAACGGATATGGCTTGGTCTCCTATATGGCACTGTAGCTTCACGAAATAGTGCCAAAGACATTCATATGGTGTGTCATTTTACTCAGAAGACTTAGCTGAGCATAATTTGGGGGTTTGAACTTAGTGGCACATATGAAATATACAAAACGCCCAGCAAAAATGCAATCCGTATGTAAAAAATGCACAAAATTATTTTTTACCACATACTTTGGCATATATTGGTGAAAAAATGGGGGCATGTTAAGGCACAATATGCACCTTATAAGATACCCTGGAGTGTCTACTTTTACAAATGGTAGGCCTTTGTGGGGGTTTTTTGAACAGTCAAACTGTTATAATACCCCAAATGGAAGCTAAGGCTCATTAAATCCATCTCTCAAAATTCTACTGTGAATACTGTAAAGGACAGGTCTCCTATATGGCACTGTAGCTTCACGAAATAGTGCCAAAGACATTCATATGGGGTGTCATTTTACTCAGAAGACTTAGCTGAGCATAATTTGGGGGGTTTGAACTTAGTGGCACATATGAAATATACAAAACGCCCAGCAAAAATGCAATCCGTATGTAAAAAATGCACAAAATTATTTTTGACCACATACTTTGGCATATATTGGTGAAAAAATGGGGGCATGTTAAGGCACAATATGCACCTTATAAGATACCCTGGAGTGTCTACTTTTACAAATGGTAGGCCTTTGTGGGGGGGTTTTTGAACAGTCAAACTGTTATAATACCCCAAAATGGAAGCTAAGGCTCATTAAATCCATCTCTCAAAATTCTACTGTGAATACTGAAAAGGACAGGTATCCTGTATGGCACTGTAACTTCACGAAATAGTGCAAAAGACATACAATGGGGGTGTCATTTTACTCAGCAGATGTAACTGAACACAAAATAAAACTTTGTACAGGAATAGCACACACCAACTTTACAAAATATACACGAGAATTTCTCTGTTATAAGTTTGTGTGCCAAAAACCAAAAAGAACACAATTTTACTCCAATATTTAGCAGAGGTTGGCGGTGAAATGGCTACGTAGAAAGTGTCAAAACAACCTTAGGTAAATAGCCCGTGATGTCTACTTTATATAAATATATACTTTTGTGTGGCAATTTTGTTTTCTTTTATGGCTATTAAGCTTACAAGACAAACATACCAAATTCTAAAATCGCTCCACATTAAAAGTTTATTTTACTCCTTGTGCTTTGTGACCTGTAACTACCAAAAAAAACTTAAAATCCCAGACACATTATATATTCTGTAAATCAGAACAAATAAATAAATTTATTTTTAATTACTTTCCTTAACCTGCACTAATTATGCACACATTATTATTGCAAAAACTGTAAAAAAAACCAATATTTTTCATTTTTTTTGCATTTTTCTGTATTTTTTTTATAATAAGTAAGCATTTATATATATATATGTTATATCAAATTAAAGCCCTTTCTGTCCTTTAAAAAACAGTATATAATATGTGTCGGTGCAATAAACGAGAGAGATGCAAATTGCAGTTGAACGCAAACAGCAAGAAAATGCAAAAATTGCTTGTGTCATTAAGCGTAAGTCAAGCTTCTGAAGCTGTGTCCTTAAGGGGTTAAGGGGTTAATAATTGTAATTTTACAGCAGCTTGGGGGAGTGCGTCTAGAGCTTGGATAAAGAGAGTGACGTGGCGTGAGCAGAAATCAACCTAATTGTTTTGTATTAATAATGCCATCTGTTAGTGGGATTGGAAATAAGAGGAAGTGTTCACGTAGTTCTGCGAACAAAAATAATTGTTTGTGAAATATTAAAGGAGCATTTTGGCCATTAGGAATACCTGGATTCCTAACACTATAGCGTTTTTATCTGCCTTTAGTATGAGTACCACCCAAAATCTTAATTCAAAATGGGGGAGAAAAAGGTGTTGATCACTCGATCAATCCACCTCCTGCAACGTCATGGTGACTCTTCTTTTTTTCTCCAATCCAATGCTCTTTATCGAGTTTTAGGGACGAAAAGCAAAAGAATGTGTGCCAAATACTGCTCTCCACCAATGAAATGGAGGTTAGCTGTGCGAAACGAGGTTGATTCGATTCTCACAGCTGAAAAGCCTCTAGTGACTATGAGGTAGACATCCATTAGGGGCGTATATAACCCTGC